GTGAGCCGCGGTTCCTATCACGTCCACCACCGCCGCCGCCGCTGTTGTTGCCTCCTCCACCTACTACTCCGCCGCCACCGCCGACACCACCACCACCACCGCCGCCACGAGCCCTAAACGCTAAGTGGGCATGAGCTTGAGCCTGTGCTTGAGTTTGTGCCTGGGCTTGAGCTTGCGCTTGAAGCTGTGTCTGGGATTGGGCAGCAGAATTCGAATTGGATTGATTCGCGCTGTTTGCTTCGACAACTTTGTCATTGAGATTTCCTCCATCCGTTTTTGTTGGTTCTGTTGTGGACTTTTGTTGCTATATATGTGTGTATTATATACATATACATACGCATGTATATATTGATGAGTATATAAAAAAGAAAGAAATGTGATTTACACTACGGAAGCTATCAACTACGAAATTTCCTTTCAAATTTGCACAAAAAATATTCAGAGATTTTGAAAAAAAAAAAAAAACATACAGTGTGCCACTAAAGTCACCGTACTTTTGTTATATTTGCGCGAATCACCCTGAAACTTGGCCAAATTTTTGTTAAATTAAAAAATTTTAATGCAGGATTATAAACTAATATATTTTCTTCTAAATTATAAAAGAAAAACATTTACTTTTAATTTTAGTTCCATAATATTACAGCGAATGTAAACATACCCAAATATTTGCGTCAACAAAAGTCTACGTACTCTTATTTTCTTGCACTGTCTGGCATCAGCGTTCTTCTTAGAAATAACGGGGGTTTTCGAAAAATGTATGCAATAATAACTTATTAACTTATTATTAATAATAATAATAATATTTACTTATTATTAATAAGTAAATTCTTAATAGTTGGCGTGTTTTGCTTGAGCTGGACAAAATATTTGAGTTTTGCAGTAAAAAAGTTTGCACGAAAAGAGTTATCGCTTGAAGATCGTGGAAAGATTTTGCATCTCCACACAAAGGAGCAAAAGTCGTATGCAGAGATAGCAGAAATCATGTCCAGATGCAAGTCTACTATACAGACTGTCATTGGTAGATTCAAATATGAAGGGCGCATCAAAAACAACAACAGATCTGGTCGGCCACCTGTACTATCCGATCGTGACAAGCGCACAATAAAGCATCTGGTGGACAAGGATCCCTTTTGTAGCGCAGTGCAGATTGCGTCAGAGATGGGTCGAAGAATTGACAAGGAAGTTCACCAGGAAACAGTCCGTAGAGCCATTAAAACCTATAACTTTAGGTCCAACACGCCTCGCAAGAAGCCTGTTGTAAATTTAACAAACAGGAGAAAGCGCTTAGAGTTTGCCAAAGCCTACGTGGACAAGCCAATGGACTTCTGGCGGAAGGTCATCTTCTCAGATGAGTCTAAATATAACATTTTTGGCTCAGATGGGCGTCTCCGCGTCTGGAGGAGACCAGGATAAGCATTGAACCCTAAAAATACAATAAAAACCGTAAAACACTGCGGCGGAGGTATTATGGTTTGGGGTTGCATAGCTGCAGCAGGAGTCGGAAATTTGGAATTCATCGACGGAGTGATGGACCAATATGTGTACATTGATATTTTAAAAAAAAATTTAAAGAGCAGCGCCGAGAAACTTGGAATTGGGTCTGATTTCTGGTTTCAACAGGACAATGACCCAAAACATAAAGCAATGAATACTAGGTTGTATCTCGCGTACAACACTCCACACCTTTTAGAGACGCCGCCACAGAGCCCGGATACCAATCCAATCAAGCATGTTTGGAATATGCTCGAAAAAAAAATAAGGAAGCACCAAATCAACAACAAAAACCGCCTGCGAGAGGCATTACACCAGGAGTGGTGCGCGTTAGATCCCAAATATATCGAAAAATTGGTGCTTTCAATGCCAAATCGCCTCAGAGAAGTGATTAAGATGAAGGGTTATCCCACAAGATATTAAATTATAAGTTTAATTAAAAAGATTGTTCCTTATAGTTAGTAAGTTTATATTAGTTTGTAAGAGTACGTAGACTTTTGTTGACGCAGACATTGGAGTTCCTTTTGTTTTTAATTAATATTATTATGTTAAGTTTGAAATTTCACTGTTTTTCTTTTTTAGTTTAGAAGAAAATAAATTAGTTTATAATCCTGCATTACAATTTTGGCAATTGTTAGGGATGAAAATCCAACCAACAGCACCTGGATCAACTGATAACTCTGAAATATTATAGGGTAACTTGGGCTTCTTTCTCCTTCTACCTAAAACTAGCGACAGACTTTAATGTTGAACAAATCAAAAAACTTACTTTAATAGTGAAATAAAATAGAAACAATGAAATTACACAGCATATACAGTCTGTCAAGAATGAGTTGGCACACTGAAAAAAATGTAATTTTTTTACTTTGGATGCAAATATCTAAGTCATTAATGCATTAAAAAATTTTTTCAAACAGGTATGTGTTTAATATTATTTCCCTAATTTATAAATAAAAATAGAAAGCATAACATTCAATATGCTAAAAACAAATCAACAAAAACAAAGATCACTCAACAATAACAGTGTCAATAATGTGTTGGCACATTACATTCTATGCATCATAACATAAAATTATTTTTTTTTTTTTATTATTATTATTGACACTGTTATTTATAAGTGCTCTTGGTTTTTGTTGATTTGTTTTTTACATATTGAATGTTTTTTTTTTTTTCTATTTTTACATATAAATTAATGAAATTCTATTAAGCACATTTCTATTAAAAAAATATATATTTTTATACATTAATGACTTAGATATTTGCATCCAAAGTAAAAAGACTACACACATCAGTGTGCCAATTCATTCTTGACAGACTGTATAATCTTTTTTTTTTTAATTTGCAAGTTCTTCATATAATAGATCTATTATAGATATATTAATAAGAATTTGTTAAGCAGTTAATTAAAAATGATTTCATTTCGTTATTATAAACAAATTATGAAATATATAGTTCAATACATTTCAGGTATTCATAATTGGAATGTTTTTACAGATCCTTGAGCCGAAATATTTCGAAGAAAAAAAATAAAAAAAAACTTCGATTCGTTCACCCAATCAATCGGAATGAAAAGCGAGGCATGAACGGTTTCAAAATGTACCAAAAAACGTACTGTATTTGAGAAGAGATACCTTTTCATTTTGTGTGCAAGAAAAAGCAATCGCTTACCAAGACTGACTTTAAAAATTATTACTACTTTGAGAAAAGGTAAAATTAAGCTTTTATTCCGCATGGCACTAATGCATACACATAATTTGCACTAGAGGACAAAACAGAATGTATCTATTTTGTATAATGGCTCATGCTACCCATGTTTAATACATTTGCGCAGTAACATTTTTTGCGTAAATGTTCTAATGTTAAAAGAATACAAAAAATAAAATGATGTACAATTATTTACATTTCAAAACACAATTTTACACTTAAAAATATAAATGTATAATATTTTTATGCACCAGTCTACGGATAGATATATTGAGAGAGAGAGAGAGCGAGGGACAAGATATTTTTGAATACAGCACTAATTGCACGCTCCCGTATGTTTAAGTTTTTAAAGAATCACATTAGTGTTATACTTATTTAACGCAACACAAAGCACAGCAGTGCATGAAAATAAATTCACTTTGTCACATGATTATGCGAGGAACAGTTAGATCAACAATTTACTAAGAAATATAAATTCCCTGAACAGTGTCTAAAGATGCGTGTTAAAATGTTATTGACATACAAATATGCATATGTATGTGGATAAAGGTAAACTTTGTATAGATGTGTATGAATACACATCTTGCATGTAGACATGTTTTTATTTATATAAATTAATATATATTTATCTGCAAGCCCTTAGCCCAAAAGTGATTGCCAAATTCTCAATATGCAAACCGCTTTCCATTTGCCGGTTTTACATAAACGCACACACAAACAATAACGCTTCACGCTAAAGAGACGACATCACAACTGCTTCAGCTCAAAAGCTATTGGTGCGAACGAGATGAATAATATAATGCTCGCGTACTATACGATGCACACACACGTGTATTTGCATACGAACATTTGAATAGATGTGTACACGTATTGAAGTATGTAATATGTATTTTGAAAAAAAAAAAAAAAAAAAAAAAATATATATATATATATATATATATATATATATATATATATATTATTATAATATATATATTATATTATTATAGAAAATATTGTTTTCCCTTACATATTAATATCTGATGCTTGTGCTTTTTATTTGTAATTCAAAGCAAAAAGGCAACCCAAAAATTATACACATGTAAAGATATGTATGCATGTTATGCATGTACATACACATATGTATACGTATACATGTATACGTATACAGTAGTATACATATCCCTTAATATTGAAGCAAAGATAATAAATTTAATATCCACACAACAGTATGCACAATCATATGTATTTTACAGAGTATTAAACCCGAATTCAAGAATATTTAATTGCATTTCACATTTTGTGATAAATTTGCCACGTTTTTATGAAAACTCACATTATTTCAGCAGACATGCTCTTAGGCCGCCATTGCAATTGTGTATAATTCTTACTTTTTTAAAGTGTACATACAACAAACATACATTTCTAATACAAACAAGTCTGTTGCTTTTCTTTTTCATTCATACAAAAAGACGATCCCTTGGCCGTTAAATGAAATGATTAGAAAATTGCCGCTAACATTAATTAATCGAATTCACTTCAGCTTCGTTTTCGTATATCATACAAATGTATGTGGGGTACTTTTAAATGTATTTGTACTTACACTTTGGTTTTGAAAATTCGACCTATTTTGGTTGCCGCCACGATTACGGTTACGATTTCCACCTCCACCAAATCCACCCTTGTTGCCAAAGTTCTTATTTTGATTCTGGCCGCCGCCATTCTGATTGTTAGGCCCAAAACGTTGCCGCTTCTCCGCGGGACCACCATCAGCGTCAATTTGCTTCTGTGGGCCGTGTTTTCCGATATTTTTATTAGGCTGATTATTTGCTCTTGCTTGACGCTGTGGTAGAGGTGCTGAATTGCCAGAATTATCCATTTTTGCAGAAATTTCCATTACAATATTTAAGAAAAAACGTTGGACAGCTCCAATTACACAACCGTCCACCTCTGTATAGAAACTGAAGCGCAATGAGATGAGACTAATTGTGGAACGAAAACGTTCTTACCTGTCAGGGTTGCCTTTTCATGTATCGATATATGCTAGCGATATAAGACGCCCGACGTTATCGCTCTTAAAATGACTAAATGTAACTATAGACAACGCTTTTTTGTTTAAACAACAAAAGCTTGTGTAACTTAACAACACAGACAACATTGCAAGTTTCAAGCATTTCATTGGTACTTAGGACTTTTTTTTTTTTTTTTTTTTTTAATTCAAACATGAAGTTTATATACAAAAATTAATATTTTAGAATTTCGATAAGTAAAAAATAATTGTTTTTGAAGTGGGATGTCCAGCACTCTTAGGCAATCTATATATATATATAAATATAAAAAAAAAATGAATATATAGATAAATACTATAACTGACCAAACTGCTGTTGGTCAGTGATACTATGTTTAAATATTAGCTTACCAATATCATAAAATCCTCTTTTTATATACTTAAGGAAAACTTCGATCGGCAAATTCAAAAGCTTGCGACGAAACCCCTCTAGTATTGCCAAAGTTGCGCAGGTCAGAGCTTTTAACTACGATAATGCATTATAGAGCTATAAATATGAATAAATGAAACACTTACGGTTGCAAATACAACATAGTAAACAAGAGTAGTTGGAAAAAGAAAGAGTATTGCAGAAAAGAATATAGTTGCCAGATACAGCTGGCGATTCATATAGTTGTGTGCTTCAATTCTATCTAAAGGAAATCAATAGAACATTTATTCATAGATATTTTCATACAATCAAAATTTTCTTACTTCTCAAGATGTTATAGCGATTGCCTCGTACCACTTGCCATAATACTGTGAGTCCCTTAACTTCTACATTATTTAAACTGTAGGAAGAGATTAGGTATGTGAGTCTTATCTGAAATAATAATAAGCTTCGCTCTTACACTTTGGTATAAACATAAAAACAATGAGCATGTAATCCAACAATTGAAATTAGATCCGCAAGCAGTGCTATTTGATACGTAAACCCTAAACATCCAAAAGCTCCAATTGCAAGAAACACCTGACGTACAATTGGTTCAATTAAATCTGAAATGTAATTTTAAAGTAAATGTTAAGAGGGTCAATGCAGTACACTTAGAGATTTACCCAAAAAGGTTGACCACAGTTCAATGTGATATTTAAAGCAATCAAGGAAAAAATTGTTAAGATGTATGTTGAGCTTTAAACCAATGGGACTACCCTCCAAAACTTTCAGCAAGCTATATAGCTGTTGTATTATAATCTGTAAATAATATATTGTTTAAAACCATAATACATCAATTGAAATAGGTAAACTTACATGGGAGATTTGTATTAGAAAATCTCCTGGATGCGAGACAAGTGTAAACAATATCAACATTAGTATAATACCCAATGCTCGATCTACCATGATATTTGTCAGCCTAGAACTGATTATAAACAAAAAGTTGAGAAAAAGGGGGTCAAATAAATATACTTTAGACATCTTACCCTGTTGCGTATATAGTTTGCCATTCCTTATAATGCGTATAGATAACTGTATGGGTTATAATGCTATTTACAAATGTGTTCCCAACAATATGTTTAAATAATTGCATGGGAATGTTTGCAAACAAATATAAAAACTGATTACTATAAAACCAGATATCGTTTGATTTTCGTAATGGATCTGGTTTGGGTTGCACCAACTGGGCTAACATATAGAAATCGCATTCGTCATTAACATGACTTTCCCTTGTCCACTGGCTAATAGGGTTTTGCTCTTTGATAACAAGACTTAGTAGCGTTTGTTTATCATAAAGAACCAATTTGATTTGATTGAGGCGGTCAGGTGTAATGGCAGTGAACATAAGCGCAATGTTTGGCGAATCGTTTGTGTAGGTGAAGCATAAGCTCATGTCATGCGAACGACAATAATTCCTATCTTTATAGGAGTCATTACATAGGATGGATCCCAGGAAGCGCATTTTATATGTGTCCAGCTCAAACTTATTGCTGTCTGCATCAATCACGTAGTACACGACGACATTGTCTTCGCTAATGTGCAACTGACCGTATAAATGACAGGCACGTTTTTGATAAAAGTATTCCGTAGGTAAGAATATCTTTATGCTCATTGTTTTTATTAACTAGCCGGCACTAACTGAACTCAAAATACAAAACAAATAGATTAAGGCGATATACTCTTACTTACGTATATTTCGATAGCGCTTAACATCGAGTCGTATCGATATATTTTGAGATGGGATGGCTATGCATCTCTGATCTGTGTTTGTGTTTCAGTTCACCATTTCATATTTTTCATTTTTCACGTGTTCTGTTTTATATCGTTTCGCAGATATTTATTGACATACACATTCGCATTTTAAAGGGATACATATTTCGTCGGCTTTTGTTATATAGTTAAAATTTTTTTCGTGTAAAAAGATTTTTGTGCAAATATTATAATGGGATATGATGGTAAGTTGCAATTTTGCGACGTGATGCCCATGGTTGAATCATGTGTACATATGCTCCAATGTGCTTAAGTTCAGGCTTCGGCTAATTTACACATGCATGCATATACATACGTACATATACATACAAATGTATAAGTTTACGTAAATAGAATAGGCAACTGTGTTAATGCTTGCCAATTTAGATTGCACATGTGTATTTACTATAACATTAGAGACTGTTTATTTGGAAGTGATCAAATCATACTCTCATTAATCGTTTAGCATTCTCACTGGCCGACATATTGGGCGCTAACGCATATATATATATATTTATATGCATACACATGCATGTTTTTATGTACATATGCATAGGTGATAGATTTTCGTTTTTGTTATCCTTGCTCTTACATTTACTTTGCGAGAAACAGTCAACAATGCGTATGTGTGTGCACGTCTATAATGCGACATATTGCATATTTTTTCCCACCAAAATAATCGCGTTGCATATGATAATGGGACCCTTTTCACTATGTGTACATATGTAAATATAAACGTGTACTGATGAATGAGAGTGTGTGGTCAGGAGGGGATGTGTAAATGGATGCCTATGATTATGTACGAGTGAATCCCCTTTTAATATGCAACACACTATTTAATTTAACTTATGTAGTATTTAACTCATAGTAGTAATTTAAAAACTATATAACTACACGGATTAAAGTGTGTATACATATTTGTACGAACATGTACAGTACCTTCAAGAATTAAGCGTCATGAAAAAGATATTCATATAAATATGTATATGTATATAATATACATTTTTAACAAAAATACAATAATAAAATAATACAATACAGTTTGGCAAGAAAGTGCTTACACACAGGGAAAACATTTAAATTTTTTATTTTGAAGCGAAATAAAAACTAAGTATATGTATAGTGAATTTTTTTTTTAAATGATAATAGGTAAATTAGACTATAAACTATATTAGTAAGCAAAAAAAATAAAAAATAAATAAATAACAATATGTTTCCATTAACAAAAGAAAATAAAAAACAAAAGAAGTAACAAAAATCAGCTGACAAGAAAGTGTTTACACAACGAAATCAATCAATTCATTATAGTGTTTTAACAACTTTGTAGTTAAAACTAATACTTTTTTTGGCCACCGTTGTCATCTATTACTGTTCCCAAGTCTATTCATCGATTGGACCAGGTTTCTGACATATTCCACTGGGATATTTTGCCATTATTCCAAAACAATGGTTTTCTTTTGTTAATGGAAACATATTGTTATTATTTTTTGCTTACTAATATAGTTTATAGTCTTTTACCTACTTTCATTTTAAAAAAAATGAATATACATATTCTTACAGTTTTTATTTCGCTTCAAAGTAAAAAATTAAAATGTTTTCCCTGTGTGTAAACACTTTCTTGCCAAACTGTATATATATATATATATATATATATATATATATAATTATCCTGGTATAGAATAGAAAAAACGTTTAAAATATATGTTTTAAAAAATGTATAAATATATACGAATAATTGTGGGCTCTACTTGAATAGATCGTGACCGTGATCGTGATAGGCGCCGCCATCGTTCCCGCTCTCGTGACCGGCACCGTGATCGTTCTAGGGACCGCCGCCACCATCGGAACTCGCGTCGCAAGCCATCATTATATTGGGATGTGCCACCGCCTGGATTTGAGCATATAACACCCATGCAGTACAAAGCCATGCAGGCGTCGGGTCAAATCCCAGCAAGCGTAGTTCCAGATACGCCGCAAACAGCTGTGCCCGTGGTGGGGTCAACTATAACTCGTCAGGCGCGTCGCTTGTATGTGGGCAACATTCCGTTCGGTGTCACCGAGGAGGAAATGATGGAGTTTTTCAATCAACAAATGCATTTAGTTGGTTTAGCACAAGCCGCTGGCAGTCCAGTGCTGGCATGTCAAATTAATTTGGACAAGAACTTCGCTTTTCTCGAGTTCAGATCTATAGACGAGACCACCCAGGCGATGGCCTTTGATGGCATCAATTTGAAAGGACAAGACCTCAAAATAAGGCGCCCACACGATTATCAACCAATGCCCGGCATCACGGATACGCCAGCAGTAAAACCCGCTGTTGGTGAGTAATATATAATGAAATCGGTAAATAAATTTCTCTAATTTTACAAATAATATCACTAATTATCTAATAGTGTCAAGTGGAGTCATCTCAACAGTGGTACCCGATTCACCCCACAAAATATTTATAGGTGGTCTGCCCAATTATTTAAATGATGAACAGGTAAGAGCTGTACATATCAAGTTGAAATAATTAAAAGCGAATACTGCAATATATATGTATCTCTTGCTATATATTATAGCTAATATTTGATCGGCATAAAAGAATTGGGAATTATCAATAATTCAATAGAGGCCCCAGCAATCACAGATGCTGTTTCTATAATCTCAGATAAATATTTTAGAGAAAATTTAAGTTAGGTTCAGAAGAGTGCTTTTAAAAATATACCAGATAAAAATTATTCCATTATTATTATTATTCTATTTCGTCTCTTTCATCGGCAATGTTCATCATCCGTGCGCTCTGCCAGACATTCTCTATCTCTATTTATATCTCTTTCACTCTCCCTCTCTCTTCCTCTTTCTTTCTATTCCAATACATATACACAGTATTCCTTTCCATTCCTTGAGGATCTGTTGCACATAATCAGCATTCTCAAAAAATTTTAAGTTGATAAGAAATTCAACTATAATTATAAACTATTTGTTCTTAGTTAGATATATTTTAAGTAAAACTTTCATAGCTTCAATTGGTTTCATAATAAACAATTTACCGTATTGCAGGTGAAAGAATTATTGCTATCATTTGGTAAGCTAAGAGCGTTTAACCTTGTTAAGGACGCAGCCACAGGCTTAAGTAAAGGGTATGCCTTTTGTGAATACGTTGATCTAAGCATTACTGATCAGGTGAGCTAAGCCAATACATTTTAATATAGTTATTACTAACCGATAAATATTCCCTTTAAAGTCAATTGCTGGATTAAATGGTATGCAGCTGGGAGATAAGAAACTGATCGTTCAACGTGCCAGCGTGGGTGCCAAAAATGCTCAGAATGCTGCTAATACAAGCCAGTCAGTAATGTTGCAAGTGCCGGGCTTGTCAACGGTAGTGACATCCGGTCCACCCACTGAAGTTCTTTGCCTATTGAATATGGTCACTCCTGATGAGCTGCGCGATGAAGAGGAGTATGAGGACATACTAGAGGATATTAAGGAAGAATGTACGAAATATGGAGTCGTTCGTAGCGTTGAGATACCGCGTCCGATTGAGGGCGTAGAAGTTCCTGGTTGCGGCAAAGTATTTGTCGAATTTAACTCGGTACTCGATTGTCAAAAGGCTCAACAGGCGCTGACTGGCCGGAAGTTCAGCGATCGAGTTGTTGTTACATCATACTTTGATCCAGACAAATATCATAGGCGCGAATTTTAAATCAGTTTTACGTATTTCACACATTCAATTTGTCAAATAAAAGCAGATAGTAAACAACAAAAATTTTAAATCATATAATAAAATACCAATTCATGAATTTTATCCAACATACCATCACTTTTCGTTCTCTTTGCATATAATGGGTTATATATGCATTGAAAGCCAAACAATATTAAATATCACTTAAGCCTTAAAATCTTTATTTGGCATTGACGAATAAAAAAAAAACAGTACAGTTAATATACATATATAAGTATGTTTACATATGGATAAAACATTTATAACAGCATTAACATACAATTTCTAATTTGTATTCAGATATATAATATATGAAAATAACTTAAAATTGTTAGAAAAGAGGAAATCATAGCTAGTTTAGTGATGTGCAAATGCAAAGGCGACAAGGTGATAACTACATTAATAAATGTTGTAAATCTGAAAAGGTCTCAGTTATGGTATTCGTTCGAAAGTACTGCTACGTTTGTACTATGAAGTTGAAGATTTTATTATCAACTGCAACCGTTTTTGTGATGTCAGTAAGTTTAAATCAGCTTAAATCGTTTATATTTGGGCTTCACGATTATACTACAATATTAAAATACAAATTTGGCTATGAGATTGTGAAATAGCTATTATATATGTTTATATACATACATCATTATATATGTATATAGCTATTTGCGGAAGCCAACATTTTAAGAAATTCTCAAAATGATTTTCAATTTACTAGGTCTGGATAAAAATTTCATGGGAAGACATTGGACTCATTTTCTACGTTTATACGCACAACCTATTTGTAATTGCACTCCGCAAACTTGAAGTTGACTTCCTTGTGATCTGACTGATAATTAAAACTATACGCAAGTAGATATAGTAATACATATGTTGAAGTCAATTAATGTGTCTCTTGTATGTACTTTTTATACATGGCTAACATCTTTAACATTCAGAACAAATCTATAGAAGATGAATGTCTTCGCTCAATGCGTTTCATCCAGAACTAACGCTTTTTTCTGTATAAATAGTTAACTAAATCATAAAGAATACTACAAAATATATATGAACCTTTGGCATTACTCTAATGACGACAGAGCTCAGTCTGAAATCTTTATATATAAATATAAATCTAGATTATATAATATAACTGAAGTTTTACTCACAGTCAAAAAGCTGTGTGAAGTCCCGCTCGACAAGGTTGGCATATAAACGTAATAAATACGCTCTCAGTTAATTACTTTTTCATTTGCTAATGTAACCGATTTTAATGATCGATCGAAATATAAGAAAATATCTGAAAATTGTTGTGTTGCGTTTGTAAGCTTGACGTCACTACATTTGTTATATCGAAACTAATCAGTATCTTTATAGAAAATGACATATGTATACAATGTAATAACTTTAGCTTCACATATGAGATTTTCCTTAATTTATCGATCAATACTATCAGTTCAGATATTTGTAAGTTCACGTACTTTTGCGAAGAAAAAATTAAAATAAAATATTTTCATTAGGCTAATGCCAGAGTGGCCGCGAGAGGCAATGCAATAATATTGAGCGACAATGTGCGAGAAAGGTCTGCATGCTGATTTATATGTAATCGGTTAAAACATGTTAGAGTGTAAGCGAAGCTAGAAGTGAAAAGTAAAGCGAGTTGAGAACGATTCTGAATCGCTCAATACTCGCTATGTTTCTCTCTTTACGGATAGCTTTCACTCTTTCAAATCATCGCTTTTCAGATCGCTGCGATAATTAGCGCTTATAGCGTTGACTCTGACATCAGCCTAATACGTTGGCTCCAAGTTGTGTAAGATTGAAGCCATGAATTATTGCTAGCTGCGTTACATATAATCATGAAATCTAAGATTTATCACAAACTGTTCATGGCGCAAACGTTTTGTAAAGGAATGCGAACGCAAACATGTATATAGTATTCCACATGCAGAATAAAGCTTCGTTTATGAATAATGAATAGCTGCGTAAGATACGTATTCGGGTTGTTAACATTTAGATAGATATGCATTTGTTTGCTGTGTATCCACAGATATGTGTGTCAATCTTCACAATGTGCATTGTACATACGAATACTCGTGGAGGTGGGCAATCTGATTGTGCTAAGTAGATGCCCGAGCTGTAATTTCTATATTGACTAAAAGCGAAGACAGCTCCAATTCTTCGCTGAACTTGTTGCGTAGGACCACGCTTCGATAGCCTTGTCGCACACAGTCCAAAGGATAACAGGCCTGAGCTATGAAATGTGTTTCGGCAAACATATCCTCGTCCTGCACCTCGAAGCGCAGCAACGCAAAGTGTGGATTGTGCACTGTAAACTTGAAGGATTCATTCCAGATGGGATTGAAGCCATTCTCATTAACTTTGCTGCGATATTTAACGCCACTGTCAAAGGGTGCGCCAACGACTTCTACCACAATTTGCGGATTATTCGATTTGCCACCCCGGAATAGATGACGAGCTGCGATGAGGCGTATGCTGACATTCGTTTCGATGAGGCCGTCCGACAGGGGATTGTTGGGGTTGAAGTTTTCAGACTTCATAAATGCTGGCTTCAGTATATAACCGCATTGACCATTATTTCGAAATTTAGCCTGATTGAGCTGCATCGCTTTGTCACCAGTTTGATAATTCAGTGCAATCATTTGGGAGCCAATGTTCCAAAATGGCACCGGGTTGAAGTTGGATGAATCCAAGCGCTGACCCTTTGGATAGACACGACTGATTTGATTGCGATGATACGCCAGAAAGAGCGGCATATTTTGTTGGATAAACTGCTTTTCGGCCTTTGTTTCTGGAAAGCTAGACATCTCTTGGAATATCCACGAATGATCCCGAAATGGTACACTACGAAAATAGATAATTAAATCGGACATCTCCTTGGCCACGCGTGCAGTGCGCTCCTTTTTACGGCGTTCGGTGGCCAATTGACTAGCGATCAGTGCCGCATCCTGTATAGCTTTGATCCACTCATACGCTGTTTCCTGGTTATCGAATCCAATTATAAACGGATTTTGCATCGTTGGCGTTTGAATTTGCAGCTTTATTATAATGCCAGGCTCATTCGATTCGAAGAGAGACGCCACTGCACCGTAGATCTCAATTGAATCGGTGCGTCCATCGTTGCCCTCATCGTTCACCGCGTTGTAATCTTCAGTGGCAGAATCAATGACCTTTACAAGCAACAGAATAGTCAGATTATTTGTCTGCTTGACAAGGTCCTCCATATATGAAAATTTCAAGTTGATAACGACCAATGACTCACCTTGACATAGTTTGCCGGCAGATGTTGCTGGATCATGCCACCGTAATCACCTTTCCACCACATGGAGTTGTTTCTTTGTACATTGGTTATGATCGCGTGCTTTGGAAACGAGAGCTCGTCTGGCTTGTCGGCCTTATAGCTATATAGGGCCTTACATGTGACATACTCCTCCAGATTGGAGCCCATGTAGTTGGAGGCGCTAGAGGTATCGCTATTACTTTGGTCGCCCTGCGACTGGGCACTCTCTAATAGGGTTTGTCGCAGGAGTTCCTGAGAGACGGGATGTACGAGCTTCACGTTGCGATATAATGGATTCCTCATATAATAATGAATTAGGGATACCAAAGACTCGAACTGCATCGTATCAATGGCATACAACCGACCCTCCTGAATGATTCGACAGTGCTTGATTTTGCGATTTATCGTGAAGGATATGACAAACGCATTGACGCTCTGGACCGATGGCCGCACCAGAAACGAGCCAATGTCCAGCTTAATTAGTCCCAGCTCAGCCTGCTCCTTTGTAGTATTTGGATGAAACCATTCCTGGCTCTCGTGCTTCTTTGGCTGTGGCACCGGCTCCTTGAGAATAATCGAAAACTCCGAGCTGCGCAGCATGTTCTTGCGATAGTACACGATTAACGAGTACAGCGAATCAAATACAAAATTCTCTACCAGATAATACTTAATCGAGCCATTCTCGTGCTTCAGTTTGATACGACAATGATTGGGACGATTGCGACGCCAGAATGACAGACTGTAATCCCCAACAAAAGTGGCCGACTCGCGTACTAAAAAGGTTCCATCGCCCAGATGTTTATATGTTTCTAACAGTTGATCAGCTTCTTGTCTGCCACCTTATCGAATGAAACGAAGAGTATACATATATTGCAAATATTATATCAGGGAAATTTGTAAGCTATAGTTAAGAATGAGTGCAAGAGCTGTTAAACTACAAAAAGCAACAGCCGATACTTTAAGAGAGATCATTCATATCCAAAATTGATTGAAATAATGTCTAGCCTTACCTTCCAATTTGCCGTGAAACCAGTTTTCGCCAAAATGCAGCTCATCATTGGCCGAAGTATCCTTTTGCTTTTGTTGCATATTGTTATTTAAGGAACAGAACGACAGTCCAAAATCATCATCTTCGGAATTGCCGTTGCGACAATCATTGATTTCCGATGTGTAGATGAGCTCCTGCTGGGTGAGGACAAACTGAAACAGATTCCAAGCCTTATCGACTGGATCTTTAAAGTATAACAACCCCTTTTTTAGGATTTTCTGCATATTCTCATTGTCGTCCGTCGCTCCGCCCAGGGATGATCGATGACTGAAGGAGGCGATCGTTCCGTTACTAACACCAACTGCAGGTAAATTAATAGAACTGACATTTTCATCGAATTGGGGGAGCTTTTTGTGCTTTAATATTATTTTTCGACGCAGCTGATTGGGTGACGGCAAATGGAGCTCATTCCGGTCGCAGGGCTGTGTGAGCAACATATCCCCAAAGACCTAAATAATCATGTTGTTAACAGATCAATTTTGTCTGTGAAAAAAAAATGTGACATCTGATAATCTCACCTCAATTAAGGCATGTGCCATATTTCGTTGCTGCTCCAAGGAACAGTTCTGTTCAATGGATAGAATAACTGGATACTCGGACGTTGCGAACGCGTGATCCTTGATGGTCTTGATGACATCCATGAACTTTATCTTTGAAGTCATTGTATGACCATGGAATATATTTGGCAAATTATCAGGACCGTTCCAGCAGTCCAGCTCGATACAGCGACAGCCCATGCGCAAGGCACGGGCATACGCCTCGCATGAAGATTCACTTGAGAACTGATCGCCCGTCAGGTAGGTATTGTGGGACGAGGCTATCCAGTAAGAGGAGAGCGGCTGATTCATATCCATGAAGACTGTGTCGTATCTGCTGTCCCACAGATCATTCTGTTTGGAGAAGAGAAAGTCGACAAACTCGGAGATGGTCAAATATGGCTCCTGTACATCGCGCTCCACATCTTGTACAAAATCGCGCATAAAGCTCGATATTTTATTCAGTTCAGAAGCACTATAATCGTGCTGTTCAGTTTCCAGAAATCGTTTGAACTCTATAGGCCGGACGATTTTTTTGTCCTCCGAGTAGGTGAACTCCGTACCACCAAATATGGTAGCATACGAGACGGGCAGCAAAAGCTTCTGATATAGACGCGAGAAATCATCGAATTTTAAATCGTGCTTTCGTCTTATATCGTCGGTAAAGCATTCCATGAATTTGCTAGTGCTCATTTTACAGCTAACGCTGCTCAAGAATGTTTTAAAGTCCTTGATAGTCACTTGGGCAGTCTGGTCAGATTTGGCCAGGTGTGAATTGATATTCTCGAATGAATAATATTCCCGTCGCAGCCAGCGATCGATTTGCAGGGGATACGGCGAATTAATAGTATCTTTAACCATATAACGCAGTCCTCTTACCCAGTTGTCGGCCTCAACCTCTGACAGTGCCACCACCGAGAAGCTCTTCAATTTGAAACTATTTCCATGCATGATCACAAAGCATTTGGTACTCTCGAAACGCTGACAGTCGTCGGCATGCAGTCGGAACTCCTTGGAGTTCTTGCCGACGCGTATTTCCCGTATCTCCCGCAACTGGATTGTTCCCTCGTATTCCGTGCGTGTGTGTGCTGCGACAGTGGACCATAACAGCTGACGAGTCTCCCTTATAAGCATGAGATGTCGACGATCGGGGCGTCGTTGTTTTCCATAGAGTTTTGTTACAATTGTGCCGCGTTCGAGCATGCAGATCGTCTGTTCCATTTCCCCTAACAGAGGCGTATTCATTGCACTAAAACAACTCATTGTTTTTTTTTTTTTTTTTTTTGTACTCTATTTTAACAAAATGAAGAAAACATGCATAAAACTAAATTTCTTTTCGCTATGTATGTTAAGTATATATGTTTGCGGTGGCCCTTAGTGTTTAAAGTGCATTGAACGTACTGCCCGATGATTCATTGACAATTTATTGATTCGTTTCGGTAGGAAATTGGTTAATCGAATCTTGTTTTGTTCTTGGATACAATTACACTTGTTGAATGCTGGTTTCTTTAAAAGATTTATTGCTTGCACTGCAAAAATATCGATAATTATGCTATCGACGTTAATAATGTATCACCACTAACCACAGAACACATAGACCGGACACGTAGTGTAAAGCGTTTTGCCCACTTTTTTTCGAGCGTTGCGTCCCACACAACTTCGTATTTGGTCGGCTCCTCACTTTTTGGGTTCGAGCTACGAAAATATACGAAAGCACAATCGTTTCGCTTCATGCGCTGGACCGAGATGGTCAAATGTTGAATAAAAGATGCCTCTATGCTCAATTTTTGTTCTTGCTCTCTCGCCCTCTCTGCTCTCTCAAATATGTACATACCAGTGATGCCAATTTGTCCTTTTTCCGGACAGATCTGTCCTGTTTTTAGGGGCTTCGTCCGGAAAAATATCAAACAAATCTGTCCTTTTTTTGTGAATGCAAATCGTGTTCATATTTTCCCAGTTGGTTGGTTGTTTTTCCAGTTGATCGGTTGTGGATGCAACAGATTTCTATTAATTAACATTGCCGAACAGTTGAACAGAGCTTTAGCATAAAATATACTAAATTGTGTACCGATATTTGTTTAAGAACAGTGCCAAAATGAGTATAACAGTGATAAATTGAATTGCTTAGATGCCTTCCATGCATTATCGATATCGTTTTTAATTGCTTTTTAAATTGTGCTACATGCGAAAAGTATAATAAAATGCCCAAAGAAACGTATAGGCAAAAATTTCGGGATTGCTGGTTACAACAGCCAGATTTTAAGTCGTGGATAGTACTACAGAATCTGCAAATGCAGTATTAATTTCAAAATCGACCAAATTCGCGAACTTCACAAGATCAACCAAATGCAAATGCTGGGCTCTAAAATTGCTACAGGCAGCAAGAGCTTCGCACACATGCATATAAATGTATACATGTATAAGCAAGCGACTGTGCGTGCACGCTCGTCGCGAAAGCATTTTCATTATGAGCACCAACGCTTTCATACCCTTCCCACAAATAATAACGAAAATGCAAATATTTTGTAGGAGCTTGGCAAACGGTTTGAAAAGTTTGGTATATTTTTCACACAGAAGGGAAGGCATGGGTTCTTGCTGCGACGAAATTTCAATTTTCGTGAGCTGCTGCTTGTGCTCACATGCATACATATATATACACATTCGAGAGAGCAGAGAGCATCGAGAGAGAGAGAGAGCAAGGGAAACATTGAGCATAGAGGGATCTTTTCTTCAAAACTCGACCATCTCGGTCAAGCGCATGAAACGAAATGATTGTGCGTTCGTATTTTTTCGTAGCTCGAACCCAAAAGTAAGAAGCCGAGCGAGTCCAAAGCTCTCTGGGGGGTTAAAGCCTCAAAAAAAGCGTGCAAAAAGCTTTCCACTAGTTGTCTAGTCTATGTGTTCTCTGCAGAGCTTGCAAATGAGAGTTGAGCGTTTTTTCGTTTATTCTCTTTCTCGCATCATACCCAAAAAAAAATTGTGTAGACACGTCTCTCTCTGAGCGTCACTCTCTTTTTTCTTTAGCATCTGTTTCGCTCAGACGCAATGCGATCACTCATTCGTGTGATGCTCTCACATGAGTGTCGCGTAAAACTAACACGATTTTCCCTCACACAAAGCTTCTCAGCAAAAAACACTTTGACTAACAAACTCAGCAGAAAATGTTTTTGCCTTCGTGTGCATGTAAATACACGCATACATACATACAAAAAGAACGCAGCAATCGCGCGTGATTACCCATACAAACGCAACTTACCGTTACTTCTTTAACTCAAGCAAACGATCAGTGTTTGACTTGAGGAAACGAAAACAGAAACAACTATCTCCCTCAGAGCGCGAGAGAGCTAAGCCAGACGCGACAAAAACACTTTCTGTCTGAGTATTTTTTGCCTGTGTCACTGAAAGACACTTTTTTGCAGACAACGAAAAAGTGTTAACAGTTTTTTGCGAGCTATGGTTCTCTGGTTAGTGGCGCCACCTAGTAGTAAATTATCGATGGATGAAAAAAACCATCGATATATCATGAGAGCCCAAATCCATCGATACTATTAATAGTCTCCATCGATGGATTTGCAGCCCTAAATAGTACTTTCCAAGTAAAATAAGCGGTTGATACTAACATTGCGTTACGGTCTCCAAAAAATGAAAAAGTGAAAATCCATAAAAGTATTGATTGAAAGCCAAGCAAAACAAGAGCGCTAGGGTGCATACATTCGTTGGAAGCAGCGTGGCGTACAAATTATGCTAAAGAGCATCAATGCTGCCTTCCAATATGAAAAAATCAAATTCAACTACTACAGCGCCAGCAGGAACATCGCCAGCGACAACAGCATCAGCAGATAGCGTCGCGACAACGTCAACTGCTGCGCCAGCTTCAGCTGCCGCATCCAATGCAAGGAGTAACAGCGGCGAATGTGGCGACTTCGCTGCTGCCCCAGCAGTAAGTTTAAAATGCGAACGTGTGTGTTTGGCCTGCCTGTTTCCTGCAGCTGCAAACGCGTGCGTATGTGAAATTCTTTTTTTGTTTGTTGTTTTTTCGTGGATTTACTTTTCTTTTTTTTTTATATGTCGCCAGTTGCAGGCTTTGTTTGGTTCTTCGTTCGAATGCCAATTTCGGTCTTTGCCATTATATAACTCAATGACAGTGCACGCTTATTATCCGTACCCCGTAGACCGCCATTTGCCGCTTACGCCCACGCGCCACACTTAGCCTGGGCAATTGTTATTGCTAGCCCCGTTTTGTGCTTTTTTTTCTCTTTCCTTTCGTTTATTTTGTGTGTTATTGTAATTTGTTGAAAGGCTGCTCAGCAAACGTGCCAGGCGTCAACCCCCGCTCTTTCCTCATCCCAAGCCGCAGCAGTAAGCGCTGCTGCGCATGCCGTCCACTTGGGCCCATGCCCAGCTTGACCTGCTTCCTCTCGTTTCACGTGCGTGTTGGGTCTTACGTATTACATCTTACTGGTTTCCTTTCGTACATCTTTTGACTTTTCGTGGGGTTTGTCATTATCCACTTTGTTTACCATTTACTTGTAGCCATTTGAGTGTGGGTGTTAGCAAATGTTTGGCTCCACGGCTGCATCATCTTTTCGGCTCCATCTGTGTGGTAAATGTCCTTGTGTGTTTGTGTGTTGGTGGGCTTTCCCCGCTCCATGGCCCTCCACGTATTAGAATTTTCAGCGCGTGGGTGCTCTAACGTTTCATTTTATTAATCTCATCTTAATTAACAGATATTTTATACTTGCTGTTTATCTTTTAAACTTATGTAATTAGATGTCGAAATCCACTAAATCTTCTGTTTGAGCTTTGCGTAATAGTTAATTTAATTAAGTTACTTAAGATAGCTCCGCGCTGATTACATCAATTTCCATCTTACGCTCTAGACACACACGCTTACAAATATACGCAATCACACATAGACAGATCCACTTTTTGTGGTCGCTAACCATTTTTGGAACTAATCCTTTATGACGGAGCGCGTGTTACGGCACTCAGGGCTAATAAAACATGGTCTTCCTTCGCTTTGTAGTCGCTTTATTTATAGATTCCCCATTGTAATTGAATTATATCCACCTACTCACTCTAAATTTGTAAGAGGCATATTTCATATACTAGAGACTTGTGCTTTGGCACATGCACGCATTTCAACGTTGTAATCACGATCTAAAAGTTTCATGAAGAAAGTCCATCGACAAGAGGAGTTATTAAAAAATTAACTTCCCATAGTAAGCCACCACTGCAGCCAATGCGTGTTTATGCGTGGCTGCTTGTGTGTGTGTATGTATGTGTGTGTGTATGTATGTGTGTTTTTGTTTTTGGTTTTTTTTTTTATATTCGTTTGTTGGCAATCTTATTATATTACAAGTTGCAAGTTGAGTGGTGGCTCGGATAGCGCGCGATGCTTGCGGGACGGCCGTAAAGCATTGCACTATGCGCTACCTCAGCCTGGGACAGCTCGTCTTCTTATTCGCTCGATTCTGCGGAACTCCATCATCACTGTGGCCGCGAAGGTGCTTGTTAATTTGACCGCTCTGATGGAGCGGCCCAGTGCCTCTTCTAGACGACGTCCACATACGAAAAGAATGTGGTTGGCGTCTTACACATGCCCTCGCCCGCACCAGGGGCACTCATCAGTTTCCTCGTGGCCAAAGCGCTTCAAATAACTCCGAAAGCATCCATGGCCCGAGAGGATCTGCGAAAGGTAGAAGTTAACCTCGCCGTGTTTGCGATTAACCCATGGCTCGAGCTCCGGGATGAGCTTGTGCGTCCACCACCCTTTAGCTGAGCTATTTCACTTTTTTTGCCATCGTGCAATGCTGTTCGCCCTGATAGAGTTGTGTCGCACAGGCGCGTGCAAATTCCGCTCCACGACTTCGGCGACCAGGTACTCCAGTGGCACCATGCCGGCTATGACCAGCGCCGCATCATCGGAGATAGTCCTGAAAGCGCAGCTGACTCTGATTGCGCTCAGTCTGTAGATCGCGCAAAAACCTCGGCTGTAGCTCGGCGTTGCCATCGCTCTTCACCATATTGGCGCAGCATAGAGGATGACAGACCTAATGACGCTCATTTGAAGAAGACGTCGTTGATGTTTAGGTCCCCGCGTGTTAAGCATAATGCTTGAGAGAACTCTACAAGAATCAGCTGCCTTTTTATGCACATATTCTAAGTGCTCGCGGAAAGTTAATCTTGTGTCTATCATGACACCAAGATACTTAATCGCCCTCTTCGACGCGATGCTGACGCTGCCTATCCTTATATTGGCAGTCTCCACTTTCTTGCGACTGCTTACTAGGACGACATCCGTCTTGTGCGCCGCAAGCTCGAGCCCAGCTCCTGTCAACCAGCTTCGTATGCGATTGATACTTTCACTGCACATATCCTCTGTATCTTTTAGCTCCTTGCCTATGGCGACGACAGCCACATCATCAGCAAAGCCCATGGTGCGCGCACCTGCTGGTACTTCCAAGCGCAGTACGCCGTCGTACATGATATTCCATAGGAGAGGCCCCAGCACAGAGCCTTGGGGTACTCCAGCTGACACTGTATGAGTTTGGGGGCCCTCACTCGTGTTGTATACCAGTGTTCTTCCTCTGAAGTAGCTCTTTATTATCTCTTTTAGATACTTAGGGATATTATATTGTGATAGCGCATTCAGTATCATATCCCAACTAGCTGTGTTGAAGGCGTTTTTAACGTCCAGGGTCGCGATGATGCAGTATTGCTTCGTCCCGTGCGTCCATCTGGTGCCTTGGATGGCGGAAGTTGCCAGGCCAACAACTTTTTCTAGAGCATCCGTTGTTGACCGGGCCTTCCGGAATCCAAATTGGTTTGGTGATAGGCCTCCGGCGCAATAGCAGTCTCCAGTCTAGAGCAGATCAATTTCCCAAACACCTTTCCTATGGTGTTTAAGAGGCAGATCGGTCTGTATGTAGCTTTAGCGCACGATTTGAGATCCCGTCCGTAACTAAAACAATTTGAGTGCTCGTTGAGCCCTGATTTGCAGACTCAGACTCCGGGGCATGAATGGAGCTTAATATTTCTGGAAAGAACGTTTCCACAATCGATTTAAGCTCCAGACGATCCGTCGGCTGCACCTGTTTACTTGCGTATAGTCTTTTAACTACTGTCTTATATGCCCTGCCCCAAGGGTCGTATTCGGCTGAGTCGCACAACTCTAGAAATCATTCTCTTTTGCTTGCCCGAATGGCTTTCTTCAACTGTCTTCTAGCTGCCTGGTAAGCTAATTGTTTTTCGAAAAACGTAGACCTACCCCGAGCCCGTTGATAGCTTCTTCTCGACTGGATGCATTTGCGTCGAATGTCACCTATTTGTGCATTCCACCAATACGTAGGCTCTTGTTGTCGCGTGAACTGCTTGCGGCGTAACATGCTGCTATTGCAGGCACTCTGTATTTGGGCCACCATTTGGCATGGCCTCAACATTACCAATTGTGCCCAGAGACTGAATGGCCTCTGAAAAAGCCGCGGGATCAAAAGTATCAAGCGGATACGATTCCCTCCACAAGGTTGACGCCCCGGCAGGTGGCTCACCTATTGTGAACAGAAGTGCCGTATGATCGCTGCCCGTATAGCTATCGCAGTGGCTCCATGTTGCTTCCCGAACGAGGGATGAAGTGACAAAAGTAATGTCAATTACAGATCCGTATCCAGCCCGACTGAAGGTGAACTCGTGGCCAGTGTTGAGCAGTGCAACATCTAGTGTCGGAGCCATAGGCTACCGTATTGGCCACGTACGAACCCATTAAATGACTTAACATTCGAAAGAACATTCGTTGTGTTGCCACATACCCACAACACCGCTTTGCCATTAGCATCTGTTGCCCATGTCCTAGGGCAGCTGGTTATACAGTGGTGAGGCTCACTGAGAAATGCTACGTCTATACATTTTTCCCTTATGGTCTGCTCTAGAAGCTCTTGGGCAGCAACACAATGATTTAAGTTAAGCTGAAGGAACCTTAACATTTCATTTTACGAGCAGCCTCACGGTAGGATGGGCACTTGAAGCTGCCTGCTGAGCTCCGTCTGCTTTTCACCTTTCCGGATGCAGAGGCTACATTTTGGTGGCTTAGTGCATGCTTTTGCACTGTGACCCATCTCTCCACACCTGAAACTGGCGCCCTTTAGGTCACAGTCGCTGCCGCAGTTTGCTGCCATATGACCGTAATCGAGGCATTTGAAACAGCGTTTAGGCTGATCCACGGCGCGGATACGGCATACAAACAATCCAATTCTGATTTTGGACAGCTCGAGCAGAGTTTTGGCTTTTCCAATTGGAAGAGCAACTGTACCTCTTTGCTGTCCACCAAAAGCCGGTCGAAGCGACTTGATAGCCTCAATGGGGAGTGAGCTATCCTTCAACTCCGCCCTAATTGACTCCAAGATCTCCTCTTTGCTCGCTAACTCATCTAGGTCACGAATCTCAATTTGAGCCGATTCGGTAAGTGTTTAACTACCGCTCGGTCACTCAAGGCCTTGCCTACAGCTTCGTGAAGGGCCTCAGCACTATGCTCCGGCTTTCTGCTCAGTTGCAACAAAAGGTCCCCCTTAGCTGTCTTCCTAATACCTTGAACGTCGCCGCTCAGATGCTTTAGATTTGGGTCGGTCTTGACTACACGAAGCATGTCCGCAAGGCAGTCAAGCCCTCTAGAGCAACTCCTATTTGGGCTAACGCTTCTTTTAGTGAGTTGGGTGCCTGGCACTCAGCCACTGGGGACTGATTAAAGGCTGCGGCAGCGCCCTCTGTTGTTGCTGCGGTGATCGCTGCAACGAGGAACGACGCGCGAAAGCTTGCAGCTCGTCCTCCATCCTGGCATCCATTTTTTGCTCCGACTACAACGACGTGAAGCCTGTACTGGGCAATGGCTACTAATATAATTTGAGTTTACAGACCGCAGTATCTTAAACTCAGCTTAACTACAGCAAGAGCCCGGAAGTATGCACTACTTTTAGTAACTGCGTCTTCACTCCAAATGTTAGGTTGCTGTCTTTGCTAAGACTTAGCAACTCACCAAAGTTAGTGAGCAGCTGATTGTCCGCTGCAATTTCCAGCACTACTAACAGCTGTTAGAGTGAATGCACCTGATTTTTTTTATTAATTGCGCAAGTGTGACGCCTAGTGAAAAACTTTTCGCGCTTGAAAAAGAAAAGGAAAGAGAAATGCCCTGACGGCAAAACTATGACGCCATTGCCCCCCTCTCTTTCACCACTGGATTATACTACCGGGGTACTCCACGAACCGCCGCGCAGTACGTCTCTGGTAGCTTTCGAGGTCGCTGGGTACGTTGCGCCCACAGCATACACGTTTTCTTTAGATATTTCCACTTTCGCAGGGAAAAACTCGGGACAAGCTATAGTCAACGATCACAATAACATCGACCGCACTCCACGAAAACGCAACTCGAACTCTGTATGTGTGTGTGTGTGTATATATGTGTGTGTGTGACTAGAGCTTTCTTACTTGTTTAAGTTTAATTAGGCTCATTTTATATAGAGTATTCGGCCCGACGTCTGCTCTGCATTGTTAATGTTTATGCTTAGTTGTGTACATGTATTTTCATTTTCACTTTTTTTTTTTTTTTTTTCAATTTTTCAATTTGTACTACAGTTTTGGTAACATCATTCAGCTATATATAGACATATGTGCTGTATCAATCCTATTGTCTTACATTCTCCAAGAAACATATTGTTTATACCATTGCAACTATTTTAGAACAATACATTTGTGTATGTGTATTATTCAGATGTAAGGTCTATTAAGAGTTTATAGATTATAACAATTTTCATATATGTATATATACATATATATTCTATTTCGGTTTTTGCTGTTGTGGTTACTTAAAACTTTGTTTCGAAACCAAAAACAATATGCAACACAAACATTAAATAAATTTTCTTGCAAAGCTTTCAAGCTATGATGCAAGGAAAAATGCAACTTTAAATATAATTAAGTCGTCAAAAACATTTTCCAACAATTCGCCAAACATGCACCTAGTATGTATGTATATATGCCTTAAAGCCATTTACTAACGTTTAATGCAATAACATTTTCATTCACATTTCACTTAATTTAAATGTGAATAAAAAAAATTATATAGTGAATTTATATATCAACGTTTAATTATGATTTTCATGAATATATATATTTTTTTCTATTATTATTTTTGTAGAGCTTTTTGTTGTTGTGCACCTAACCACAAACTCATCATGATAACGTTTGCCACAGTTTTAGCGAGGTAAGCGCCAGATCATCAACGAGTTCTTTCTTCCTCCCGTATTAGACAGTGTTAATTCAATCAAATCTCTTCTAATAATCACTAACTTCACTTTTCACAGTATGACGCATCAAAACAGCAGCAAGAATTGACGCCTAGCTGCAAGGAACAAAAACTGCAGCCGCCTGATGAGCAACCGATAGCCATACACTATTTGGCCAGCTTCCACGAGATTTGTGTGGTTACGGCCCTGTTGCCCTTGGTAACACTCTTCACATGCTTTGTGACCGCCTACGTCTTCCAGTACGACGATGTACACGAGACACATTGCCGGGTACGTGATTGTATGGATATTTTAAATTTTGAACAATTTATTGAAGATATTTTCTTTCAGGTCTATAACATAATACCCTCGATAAGTGCAATTACTGGGGTTAGTCCGCAGCGATATTTCTGGCGCTTTAGCATTGCGCTTCATATCGGGCCACGCATACCCATTGCCTTTGTCTATAAGAACTATTATCGCGCCCAGTTGAATCGCCTGGCGCCGTCGCTGGTGCCAAAGACCAGCTGGCTAATTACATTAATTCTGGTGCTAAATTGCATTGAGATTGCGGCGTTAGGCGGTGTGACCTATATATCGAATCGTGAGAACTATCGTAAGCAACCCAATCAATGACGCCTAGTCGCAATTAACTCTATATATATTATTGACTTCTGCAGCTGTTCATGAGAGAATTTTCATTACGTTTATGGTGTGCTCGCTCTGCTATATGTTGGCTACCATAAAGCTGAATAGCATATTAAATGCACGCCAAACGCTCAATGCACAGCAGCTTCAATCCATCAAATGGAAGAAAATACTTTTTGTTGCTTCCATATTGAGCACCATTGGTCTCCTGGTCTTTTTTGCCAAACACCGATTCTATTGCCATGATTTGGGTAAGCGAACAAGAAAGCAATCAAAACTTAAAAGTTAATCAATGTGTGGGGCGCTTGAATTGGTTTGCTGACATCATACTATATTTAGTTCTTACATAACTAAAGTATTTTGAATGCAGCTTCAATAGGTAGCGTGCCCCAACTCTTAGCATTAAATGATCTATTATCAATTACATAATCAATTATAACATAATAACGTTTTTCATCCCCTATTTCAGCATTCAGTTGGTTTGCATTCTTTGAGTACTTGATTGCTATTGCCAATATGCTGTTCCATTTCACCATTATCTGGGACTTTCCGTCACAGTACATGCTGATAGTGCAGGGACCGCGAGAGAATCTGACGCAGTATTTAGGCACTAAGCCAAAAGTTAATTAAGTTCCCTACCAGTTTTATAGTCCTAGATGATCTTCACATATTTCGGCTTTTGTAATCTATAAATTGGAAACTTATATACGCAATCATACACACATTCGTATACATATATAGAAACATACAATTGTATCATTCAACTTCTTGACTACAACTAGCGCTTCCATAACCAAATAAAACGAATGTAGGTATGAATACCTACAATACATTGAAATATACCTTGTATTTCCCTCATCTATTTCAGTTTGTGAATGAATTATATCCAATTAAATTATTTATGAGGCATTATGTTAACTATACGTACAAAATGACAAACAATGTTCCACATTTTATATAGTCTTTAGTTAAATAAGCAATATTTTTATCGAATTCCACAATTAAGTACAATGTGAATAACCTGTGAGCTGCTCATCTTTTTAAATCAAAAACGAAAAATGTCAAATATTACTTATAATGCTTATCAGCAGAATGCATTGCTATATATTATTTACATAAAATTGTACATCATAATCATTTTAAGTTTTGAAAGATTTCCAATTCTTATGTAGTAATATTTAATATACATTTAATTCCTAAATTTTGAAATGAATAATTTTGATTTAATAATAATAAACGAAAACGGAACTTGTGTTCATGCTACACACATGTTGAAAAGAGTTCTTTCAATGCTATATTACCTTAATTATTTTCGATTATCAGTACTCCCTCTACTCAATATATAGGCATACATATATACGTATATATATATATATATATATATATATATATATATATATATATATATATATATATATATATATATATATATATATATATATATATATATATATGTATATTATGTACTTATTCATGTTAAATTATATATGTACATTTGTAGGTATACGAACCATCACTAAACGCTAGTCAATTTTTATGTCTTATCCAAATTTGCACTACCAATTTGCTGCTGTTTCTTCCCTATCTCTCTCTCTCTCTATCTCTCTCTCTATCATGTTATCTTATCTCTCGTCAATTGTCATACATGCTAGATTTTGAACTTCATCATACACCATACTCTTGACTATATGTATTCATTAATATATAGGCATGTATTAACACTTTAGTAGTACATATCGTTTATACAAAGCAAAATAAATATGAAAAAAAACCAGATATTGATGGCGGAGCCTATGGTTTATGTAGCGCTCTGCGACTAACCACTGTTAACAGTTATTAATATAATTATTCGAAAGCCACAATAGACATTTAAGCTGGAACAGGCAACGAACATAATTAAGAATTAATAAATAAAATATACATGAAATTATATTAGAGAGCAAATAAACTAAAAAGATTTTTAGTCACGTTTAGCTGCTGCTGCTGTTGCAGAAATTCCATGTAATTCACTAAAGAAATATGGTAAGCTAAATAAGTGAAAAATTGTAGTTTTTAATTTAAATACCAACAACATCTAGAACAAGAAGAACAACAATACATAACTTAATGTAGAGTAAACTATTAACCTACAAATAATATAACATAATGGGTTAAATATTTTCATTTTTGTTCTTAAAATATTTATATGAATATATTAAATCGAATGTTTCTTGAAGATCAAATTTCAAATTACTTAAAAACTTTGTACTGTACACCAGCAAAGAACGTTTTTATCGAAATAAATGTATATTTATGCCTTTCCAGCCGAACAGGAACAAAATTATTAAAAACGCTAAAAAGAAATTTGATTAAATTAAATTTCCTATTTGCTAAAATTAAGAAATCAATTGTTATTATGCGCCACAACAAAAAAATACAAAAAAAAAAAAAAAAAAAAAAAAAAACGCAGAAGTTGACTCTGACACAAGTTATCATATGCCCTTATTTGAGATAGTATGATATATTCAGTAGTTTTGTTACGAACGATACGAATATATTAACCTAACCGACCATGCAACGTTATAGATGTTTAAAACTCGCCATGCATTGATGTTTTCCATTTCTGTGGTACTATGTCAAGTATTTTATTGAGTGCCTCTCATCTGTTCCAATGGCTATTTGGATATGTTTTACGACATATATTATTATTACGAAACAAACGATGGTACTTGATACTTTTTAGAGTGCAACTTTTTACCTTTGCATAACTTTTTAGGCAACACAATGTAAGTAATTTAAGATACGAAATATGTCAGCAAATACGAAATGTAAAACTTTGTAGCCTCCTAATTTGAATAAAAATTATAATACAAATTCATATCTAACTGGCTTATCGTCGACCTTCTGATCTAGAGTATGTGGACTTATTTCCCTTGTGTCGCCCATATGTGAAGACATTTTTAATTGGAAGCACTTAAGAGATTTTTAATTTTGTTTTACTTATTTACAAGTTCTTTTTAACATATTAAAACCCCTTATAAACATAACAAATATGTACACATACAAGGTAAAAATAATTATAATACCAATAAAATGATGTGTTCTTCAAAATGTTAATAAAGTAATTTACAATTCACTCGACTTGAGTTTAAATTTGATCGAAAAGCTACAAAAAATATATAAATATTTATATATGTATATAAATATGCACAATTTTTTTTTTGTATTTTTTGTTGCAAAATTAAACCTGGCTAAATTAAACCTGCTTAAATAATAAACACCAACTATATGTACAGATATTATATGCATGCGTGTATATTGAAGAGCACTATCTGGGCTTCAGTTTGCGCAGGTGTATATGTGTGTGTCTGTGTATGATTATATTTAGTTGCTGTGAGCGGGAAAGTTTACAAATTAAATTCAGTACAAATTAGCTACGGCCAAGGTTTGCATATGCAAGTGTACACATATGCATGTGTGAATGCCTAAAGCTAGACCCCTAATAATAGGTGGTCCTATATGTATATATATATATACATTCATGTTTAGATATATGTTTTTGTTATAGCATTGCAGGCAATGCTTATCATTGTTATATGTTATTATAATATATGTTTGTATCTAGTCAGGCAAATCAATGCTGATGAATGGCACCACCGGCTTCATTATATCATTTTTGGCAGCCTTCTTGCTTTTCTTTTCGTGCTTGCTAAACTCATGGAGAGGATCAGTGGCAGCGATATTGCTGGTTGATGACGACGACGCATCCAGCGGCACAGATTGACCCGCATTGCTTTGTGTTTCTGCATGATAACTGATGTTTCCGTATTCCTGTAGAAATGGCATGGCCGAAAGCAGAAACTGGCTAAACGATTTACGAATGCCAAACCACCACATGTTACCGCCTTTGGCGGTAAAGCTCAGTATAATTAGTGCCAGTATAGAGACCAGCAGTGGGGAGAATACCACAATATACGGAAACATGATTTCTCCATCCAGCTTGTCGCAAATAACCACCTATGCGACAAAATTGATTACAGCTATTATTATTATCATTATGCAAATCAGTCATAATTCGTTTTACCTGAAAGCAGAGCAATGGCAGCACAGTACAAATGTTGCCAACAGCTGCATTTAGAGCCGCCTTCTTCTGTTGCAACGATACTTCGGGTGTACGCATCATAATGCCACAAAATATGATGTTGTATAGTACGCTGACCAAGCTAAGGCAAATGACAATCCACATGGGCACAAACACCACATCCCAGTTCCAATATACAAATTTGTCCAGCTTAAGTGGCAGCGACACAAACTGTAATGCATTGACAGCCAAAAAAAGCTCTAGTTCAAAGGAGCGATCATGCTTAACCGCCCAGACACAGGCTCCAACGCTGACCACAGAGCCAAATATAAGCGGTATAAAGACAAGCACCCATAAATGACGCTCCGATGTGAGCTTGTCGCATGCCAGCAGCTCGAACATAAGCAATATGAGGTGCAAAGATAGAGATATAAGCATCGCCTTAAACTGTGTGTAGGAGTCGCCCTCAAGGCGATAGTGCGGATAGCGACACCAGACAATGGCACCCACTATAGCGCCCAGTATGGCAGTGCATTTCCAAATCCACAGCGGGGTAAAAATAGCCCAATAGGGCCAATCTGCAATTAGCCATGCAAAGGTTGAAGTTTCCACTTAATGTTTTCAGAGCTATTGTCTTACCTATGTATCCATCGAGGCGCAGCGCGAAAAGCGCTACAAACGAAAATAGGCTGCAGTGCACTATAAATTTACTGATAATGACAATTGGGATGGGGTAAATTATTAAATGTAACGTAAACGGCAGTTTGTATGCATTGCTCACCATGGGTTGAAGTCACGAAATAATGATTCCAGATTCATGTTCTCTCAGACAGTATAACACGCTTGCAACTGCTCTCCTATGTGTGCTATGCTTGCGTTATTATTCTGAAATCCAGATCCTGATGAAGAGCTTAGCCACTAGTTGCTCATTATTGCTGTCGTTGTGAGGCGCAGATGTCTGCCGTTTGCTATCTTAAAGGCGCTTAAAGTGGAGGGTAAAATGACCTACTTTTTGAATATGCTTAAACGTATTTTGATACTTTATTTACACACTGTTCGACACAGTTAGAAAAAGGCATACTAAGTAATTTTGTTGTTTTTATCTGCCTATCAGAAAGATATCGGACTTTCACGATTAACCATGCCAGCGATATATCGATATTACTTTTTTTTTTTACCTCTAAGAATACTTGTGATGCTCGCTAATTTTTATAAATGAAAATTTTAAAAAATAAATTGAAAAAAAAATATATATATATATTTAAATTACACATTTTATTGATCTAATCGAATGAGTTTTAAAATTAGGTAAAATTTACGTGGGTCCGATGTAATTGTTAAATGTTCGTGCAATATCGCCCATCTCTAGTTAATGCTCATGCCTAGTGATGTAAATTTGGGTCGAAAATTCGATGTCGATGTTCATCGATGTTTGCAAAATGATAAATCGATGTTGTGTAAAACATCGGCTATAAACATCGATGTATCGATGTTTTCTACCAATTCCGTTATTTTTCGTTAATTCAATTCTTAAACAACATTTCTTCAACATTTTGTTCTATTTTATGAATGGACCGCAGGTGGTCCTTCATGTTGGTCGTGTTACCCGCAATCTTCAAAACTTTGTTGCAAATGTTGCATTTCGCGCTATTTCCATCAATTTTGTAAAGTGCCTCCAGCAAAAGCTTGTCTTTGTTGTTATTCTAGAATAAATACATTTGTAATTGCAAATAACTATATTTATATATATTTTCAACAATTTACTTACTTTGGCATTGCAAACACAGGGTAAAAAAAAGAAACAAATTCGCGAATTTTTCTATGTGGCAGTGTATCCATATGTTCTGCAATGTTGTGAAATTTAACGCCCGATGTTCTGTCAAACATCGATGCATCGCTTAACATCGGTATCAATAAAAACATCGGAAAACATCGGAAAACATCGCCAAAAAAACATCGATTGTCGATGCATCGATGTTTTTTCACATCACTACTCATGCCTGAGAACGAAGTCGACGAAACCGATTGCTGTGGCAATGGATGCACCAATTGCATTCTGGATAATCCGCCAAAGCTCAGTCAACAAGCATTGCTGGCTGGCAAACGAAATGTCATCCTAAGTTATGCCAGATTCAAGATGCTCAGCAATGTAGTCCACAATGGTGATGAACAATTGAGATTACTACATTTTGTCTACGTCGCTTCGGATGATGAAGAAAATGATAGTATTTTGGACATTCCGCCGGGTCATCATGTAATGTTGCGCGCAGAGCTAGCTGGACATGCTGCACCTTTACTGCGTCCCTACTCACCTTACTGGACGGATTTTGTTGCAAAAGAATTCAAAATTCTAGTCAAGCTACAGCCGGGTGGACCTATGTCCGACTATTTAGCAGCTTTAGAGCCCTTGCAAGTGCTTAACTTTCGTGGACCCATTGGCAACTATGTGCATGATTCAAGTAGTCCCAAATCCATATATATTATAGCCCAAGGCGTAGCTATTGCCCCCACGCTGCCAATTGTCGCCCAAGTGCTGGACAACGAGGATGACATGAGCTGCATACGGCATTTGATGTGTGTCAAGGACTTGCAGCATGTCTATTTTCGCGGTCGTCTGCTCGAATTTGCCAAATACTGGAATTACCGCAGCTGCCTCTATCTGGCGCACCAGAAGTGCGGCTGTGGTGCCGCCACCTGTGATGAACTCTGCGTGCATCTGAAAAAGGAGCTGCGCTACAATGAAAGAGCGCGTAGACTGCGCCTGGATGCAATGCAGTTGGCAGCCCAGAAAATATCCAGTAATCAAAATGGTTCCATTGTAATCATTGCTGGAAATTCAACATTTCAGCGCTCTATACGCGAGCAAGCCATCATTGCCTTTAAATTGTCAGATGAAAATATATATCTATTATAAACAATACATGTAACTATCTCTTGAACATATGTATATTTCCTACTAAATATGCTTGACCCATATTTAGGACTGCCACCCGTCCTGAAATTACGGGACATGTTCCTCTTTTGAAGGTATTCCCGGTGATGACCTGACACGAAATTGTCCCGGTTTTCTACTATTTCGATAAAGGAATCATTTTGACAAAAATGACAAAAATAAAAATGTTAAAGTCGGGTATTACCAACTGCAGAATACTCATTCACATCTCATCAGCAATATACCAAATCTCTAGCATCAATAGTGCCCAAAATATATGTAGGAGAATTAAAAAAATCACTATATCTTCAGATCCGATTTGCCACGGCCCTAGTGGGCGTAGACTAATGTTAATGTCATTACCTCACGTGCAAAATGTCAGCGCTCTAGCTTTACAACTTTAGGATATTCAGTTTTATCCAAATTGTTACGCCCCCACTAGATATATCCACCATAGCTTGTTGGTCTTGGGGTGTCAACGCGAATCTACATATTTAATTTTAGATTTCTAACTCAACAAATGATTTCTGGCACATCGTAAAATGCATTTTTCGATTTGCCACGCCCCTAGTTATCAGCTAGCACAGTTTTTTACAACACACGTGCACTCGAGCTGTTACAGGGAAGTATTCAAAATAGCACAATTCCTGTATGCAATTCCTACGCACAATGCAAATTTCGGAATACGCAGTGGTCAGCCGAAAGAAATAAGTTACTTGTGGACAATGTTAAAAAAATACTAATTGTTCAATTTATAAAGAATTGATGGATAAAAGAAATGTTAGTTTGTTGAGAAAAATAGGCAGTGTGGAGAAGTATATCAGTCAATCATCAGTGTAATAATATGATGCTAAATAAGAAGAAAGTGAAGTAAAGATGGAATTTATACAGTGGCGTAGTCGTCAACAGTCCCGGATGGTAGCTCTGCCGGATGGTAACCCTGCCCATATTTATAATAAGAAGTAAGTTTGTTACTCAACAGTGTCTTTCCACAAGGAATCTGTTATCTTTAATTCGGTAGAATTTTTAATGCACGAGTATTTAATTTGTTTGTAAAGATCGAATCATTATGAGAATTCAAAAATTAATAATTTAAATGTATATATGTATGTATATACATAGGTATTCATCTTGACTCCAATTTGATTTTGATCAGATATTATATTTTCTATACATTTTCGCACATCCAACAAAATGTGTGTTTTTCAAAACACAGTTGGAATTATAATATAAACACTGAGTCACCGATCCCATACATTTCATCTGACCTTATGAATCAGTTATTTGCAAGCCGAGCATTTTTTTATACCCATTGAAAATGGGAAATCAGGGTATATTGGTTTTGTGAAAAGTATGTAACAGGCAGAAGCAATCATCGCAGACCCCATAAAGTATATTTATTCTTGATGAGCTAAGTCGATATATATACATGGCTCTGTCCGTCTGTCTGTCCGTATGAGTGCGTTGATCTCAGAAGATATAAGAGCTATAGAGCTGAAATTTTGCATGCATACTCGTGTATACGATAAACAGTACAAGTTATCATACTTTTTCGATAACTCATCCAATAGCTTTTTATCGAGAATAATCGAAAAATTCATTTTGTTTTTTCAGCCTAATGGCTGGAGACTTCAGATATACTGCAAATACATATATTTATGTTCATTTAATGAATAAAATTTTCTTGTAATATACAGATTTTGCATACCACGCCCCATTTTCCCTCAATTTGCAAAAAATGTATTTCAAGTACAAGAGACTTGTGCTTGAGAATGTAAACTTTTAACCATATGATCACGTTCTGAAAGTTTCATAAAGATAGTCCAACTACAAGAGATATTATATAACTAATAAATTCTCATAATATTGCCCACACTGCAGCGCAGCCCAAGCGCGTTCGCTGCTAACTGCGCAGTCAGCAGAGCGCGTGTGTATGCATGTGTGCATAAAAGAAGTGCATAATGAGTAGAATACCAGCTTAGAGGGTTCAGGGTCGAGCAGTCTCAGCTAGAGCCTTCTTACTTGTTTTAAAATGTCCGTGTATACAACCCGGTTATGGAGTTTTGCTTTAAAAATCGATAATTTGCCCCGTTATTTTGTTATCGATTAAAAACATTATCGAAAACCAGTAATTAATTTCAATTCCAGTAATTAGTTTCAAGCAGACGCTTATCGGTCTTGTGAGCGGAAGCTTTCGCTGAAAAAACAAGCGAAAAATATCCGCTTCGAGGGTCCGTCCAATCAGTTGATATAACACGATTATTAGTATTCGAGCGGATATTCGACGTGTTCGGTGCATTGTAGAGCCAGAGAACAGAATTTCAACATGGGACGTAATTCACCCGTTTACTCCAATTACGAGGACTTGCACGCCTCAGAGCTGCCTTCGGTCTCCAACTCCCATGCGGTGAGCATTATGAGACCAGAGCAAATGCCTGAGCCGGAATATCAACAAACAAATGTCAAAAGTGGTTCTCCGCCGGAATACCGGGGATTCAAGACGTGTAAGAACGATCAGATCTGGCAATTGCCAACAAAATTGTGAAAAGTAAATAAGATTAGATAAGCGAATTGCTTATGAATGCAATTGCAAGTCGTAAATTCTTTAAAACAGTTCAATTCATCTGTGTGATAAACTTAATTAGGTGTTTGTGAATTTCCCATATGCGGTTTTATACCCTGAACCCATTGAAAATAGGAAATCAGGCTATAATGGTTTGTTGAAATGTATGTGACAGGCAGAAGGAGGCGAACTGATTCGAACTGATTCGATTTAGCCCTGTCTGTCCGTATGTTTGAGTGCGTCGATCTCAGAAGATATAAGAGCTAGAGACTAGAAGCTTTTTTTAAATGTCCGTATATATAGCGCGGATATTAAGTTTATCTCTAAAAATCAGTCATTCCTTTATTTTGCTATCAATAAAAACCCTAATCGAAAATCAGGTATAAAAAAATTATATGCTGTACATCTTTAAAGCGAGAGTCGCCAAATTTTAAATGTTAATTCATATGAATAAAAGTTTCAACAAGAAAAGTTACTAAACAATTAAGTTCTTATCCTTACATACATATGTATGGAGTAAGCTCATGTGTGTTTTTGCGTGCGTGCGTACGTCTGTGTGTGTGCGTATGTGCTGTTTCTTGTGTAAGGAATTATTGAAATTACAATTGCTCGATGGGTTCAGAGGTTTTCGCTGTCGAGCAGTCTCGACTAGAGTTTTCTTACTTGGTAGTATATAATATGTATAAAATATGAATATATATATATATATATATATATATATATATATATATATATATATACTAGCTATATATATATATACTAGCTGGACGGCAAACGTTGTATTGCCCTATCCATTATTTCTAGGTAAAAAATTGTTGAAAGCTATGTTGTTCAGGTTGGGATACACTCTGATTAATTTATTAATATGGTAAACGACATTCTTCGTTTCTTGGTCGGGTGCAAGAACAAATAATGCGGATGGTTTGCCAACACGTGAGCATGCCACGTACAATTGACCATGAGAAAAACACGCGTTTTCTAGATTGAGGCCACAAATAGTCAAAGATTGACATATGTATGTATGTCATTGCATCTTGCGCATATTCATTCATATGACGCGGGCTACCTGTGTATGTCGCTGGTAAAATAGTCAATCGACCAACATTTTCAAAATCTCCTTTTGTGATTATTGCATCGTGTAAATGAATATACTCTTCCGAACGCAATTTAGCTTGATTTAAACGGATGAAAGTCAGGCGCTCCGTTTCGATTTTCACGTACATGTCAACGCAGTATTGTTGAAACAGTCGACGAAATCGCAACAAATAATTGTCAGAATTTTCACGAATCATCAAACAATATGCGTAATAATTCATCAAACTAACCTTCTTGGCAGTTTCCTCACCTGAAACAAATACAGTAAAAATTGTATTTTAGAACCCCTAACAGATTGCCGACTCTTACAACTACTTTCTACTGAGTTAAGAGTGATACATTTTTTTGTGTACCAAAAGCAAACAGAATGAAATGTACATATATAAAGTTAAAATCAAATGATTTTACCATTCAATGGATTAATCATTTTGATATTAAAGTGATATCCATCGTCTCCTTGCCAAAACATCAGCGGGTATTGTAAAGCGTCATATGAACGGTGCGTTTCAGATGTTCTTTGTAGTTGCCCAGTACTGCGTCGTGTAAGCACAATATCGCGTGCTTCCAAGCTTTCACCAACAATCACGATTGCCACTTCATCGATTGTTGGAGCATTAAATGTGCGTTCATGTGTTCCAGCTGGTCTTTTATCTGCTCTGATTACTACTTTATAGTCATCTCTTGGCATGCGCTCTAAAGCAGTCTTGTACAGCTTGACCAATGCATGATGTTCGTGAAGCATTTGCTGCAAATCGTGGAGAATTGCTCTTTTCATAGTTGTGTTGATTTCTTGACGCCGGTCAAGTTGTTCTTCCATATTGCCCATGAAGTATATTTGCAAGAATTTGTGCTGTGCATATTCAATAGGTTGCTGTGATCCAATGCGATGGCAAATCTGGCCTTGAATTTTTAAATTCAAAGCCATAGTTATAGTTAGATTTACAAACACTTTTTAAAAAACTACATTATTCCAATTTTATACCCTGAACCCATTTTCAATGGGAAATCAGGGTATAATGGTTTTGTTGAAATGTATGTTACAGGCAGAAGGAGGCGTAACAGACCCAACAAAGTATATATATTCTTGATCAGGGCGACGAGCTGAGTCGATTTGGCCCTGTCCGTCTGTCCGTCCGTCCGTCCGTCCGTCTGTCCGTATGTTTGAACGCGTCGATTTCCGAAGATATAAGAGCTAGAGACTTGAATTATGACTTGAAAATGACCGTATATACAGCGCGGACGTCGAGTTCGCTTTTAAAATTCGATAAATGATCCCGTTATGTTTTTATCGAGTAAAAACATTCAAGTTCATGTCAGATGCCACTATAGCTAATTGTGAATGATTTTTAATTTTTTTAAATTTCTCAAATATTTCGTTCAGTCAAAAATTAATTAAAAATCATCAAATATTTGGCCAATTAACAAACGCACGTGCAGAAGCTACAACAGCATCGTATGCGTGTGCACACATACATTCAAACTTCTTCTAGAACATTCTTTGAATTACATCAGCTGTTAGTTTGGTTTAGTTTTGGTAAATGGCGCTGCAGCAGTGAATCTATTTGAGTTTTGCCAGCGCCACTTGCAGATGTGAGGTGGCGTAGTGTGTTAGCGGCATGACACTCGATTAAAAAGTCGCGGTTCGAATCCCGATCGGTGCAGTTGATGTTAATTTTTATACTCATTCACGAAAGTGAATCAGTATATTGGTTTTGTGCAATGTCCGTCTTGCTGTCCGTCCGTCCGTCTGTCCGTCTGTCCGTATGAACGCAATCTATTTCGGCGCTATTGAAGCTAGAGACTTGAAATTTGGAACACATACTCGTGTATATCCGATTTATAAAGTGTTAAAATTTTCCCGATCCGCCCACTAGGGGCGTGGCAAATCGGATAAAACTGTATCTCCTAAAGTTGTAAACCTAGAATGCTGAAATTTTGCACGTCAGCTAATGGTATGATTCTATAAAGTCTGAAGATAAATTATAAGTCTACGCCCATTAGGGGCGTGGCAAATCAGACCTGAAGATATAGTGATTTTTTAAATTCTCCTATATTTTTGACACTATTGATGGCAATGAATGTTGAATAAATTGTTGATGGGATGTGAATGAGTATTCCGCAGTCGGTAACGCCCGACTGCAACGTTCTTACTTACTTAATATTTATAATAAACTTTATTAAATCAAATATGCACCATTTTGGTCGACCACCTTTTGCCATTTTTCCACTAGAGACATAATTCCAATCGTGTAAAGCTTTCGTGGTTTCTCTTTGAAAAACTGCTCCAAGTAATTTTCACAGGCTTCTTTTGAAGCCAACTTTACTCCATTAAGGGAGTTCTGCATTGACGGAAATAAATGGTAGTCCGAAGGTGCAAGGTCAGGTCTATATGGTGGATGCATTAAAACTTCCCAGCCAAGCTCTCTCAGTGTTTGCCGGGTCATCAAAGATGTGTGTGGTCTGGCGTTGTCCTAATGGAATACGATGCCCTTTCTGTTGATCAGTTCTGGCCGTTTTTTTTTCGATTGTTTGCTTCAATCTCATCAGTTGTTCACAGTAAAGTGTCGAATCAATCGTTTGACCAGGCTGAAGCAGCTCATAGTGGATTATTCCTTTCCAATCCCACACAGCATTACCTTTCGAGCCGTCAATCCTGGCTTTGCGACCATTTGTTGAGCTTCACCACTCTTGCACCATGATCTTTTTCGCACATTATTGTCGTATTTGATCCATTTTTCGTCTCCTGTTACCATTCTCTTCAGAAATGGTTCGATTTCATTTCGTTTCAGCAAAGAATCGCAAATGTTAATTCTGCCCAATAAATTTTTCACAGACAATTCATGTGGTATCCATACATCGAGCTTATTTTTGTAGCCAGCCTTTTCTAAATGGTTCAGAACCGTTTGATGATGAATGTTTAGTTCATTTGCGATGTCATGGCTGCTTATGTGACGGTTCTGGTCAATCCTTTCCATAATTTCATCGACTTTTTCAAAGATTGGTCGACCAGAGCGAGGTGCATCTTTCACATCGAAATTTCCAGAACGGAAGCGAGCGAACCATTGTTGTGCTACACGATCTGATAGAGCATCGTCACCGTAAACATCACAAATTTAATTAGTGGCTTGCGTCGCATTCTTCCCTTTTTATACAAAAATTTCAAAATATAGCGAATTTCTTCTTTATTTTCACCCATTTTTGAACAGCTGTAACTTTTTTCAAATTCTTTGAATTAAATTTTTTTTTTTTTGGCAATCGAAGCTTTAACAATCGAACACCACAATATGTACACAATGTGATTTGTAGCACTGGAGATATACGACGCCAACGACATCTATTGGCAAAATACGAAAAAACTTTTTAGACTATATATGTATATATATATATATATATATATATATATATAGAGAGAGAGAGAGAGAGAGAGAGAGAGATCATATAGATGATGTATGGAATTCAGTACTGGCTATTTTAAAAGACTCATAACAATTGACTCTTTGAGTTACTTAAGATACGGAAAGTTTATAGTATGTAGCTATGTTTACAACTTTATGTGAAATATAGCAATGGAAATTCTTGATTCTTGTAAATCCCATAGTAAATAGGAAATTCAAGTGAATATAGCGAATTGTGTCTTAACCAATACCCAAATATGAATGAATAAATGAAAAATGCGTAGAATAATTGGAATAGCATATGTATCTGCGTTGGGCTAAAGGAATCTCCTAGATCGGTTGTCCCGACTATAGTACTATCTTTTATTTTAACCACTTTTAAGTATTTCTTACTATAATATGGTATAGCAATGCGCAAGGGCTCTTGCCTTCCAAATTAAGCTAGACAACGAATTAAATTGCTAATAGAAGTGGTTAAATTCTGATCTGAAGCGGTTTGAAATACTTTTAAAGAGCTAATTTAATGATTCAGTAAATGAAATAGACAAAAGCTTACAGATCATCTCGCTATCTATTTCGCCATGATGTTAGCTGAAATACGAGTGCATAGACTTACGTATTAACAGTGCTTAGTAATATTGTCTTTCTGAAACAAGAGCCCCAATCCTTTGGAAATAGTGTCTCTAAATTACAGGGTATCGTCTAACCTGGACAGACAGGGCCATTTGCTATCTAATGAGTCAGCTTCTTTAGATTATTTGCATGCAACATTTTCATCAAAGAGTCAAATAGAGTAGACTAGTAGAGAGTAAGTTAGAGTTACTAGTAGATAAGCTATAAATATGTAAATATGTAAATACATGGATGGCTCAAACCATCCGGTTATTTATAGTTATAGTTTAAAGATTTGCTTATTGTTTTGTACAAGACAGATTGAAAAAAGAAAATATGTAAAAACAAGTAAGAAAGCTACAGTCGACTCAGCTCGACTATGAGATCCCCTGAACCCTTGGAACAATAGCTATTTCAATCATTTTTCGCGTCTTTCAGCTTACACAAGAAACACGCACACACACACACAGACGCACGCACACACAGGCATACATACACACACACACACACACACACACACACATACACACACAAACGCATACACACACACATACACACACAAACACAAACACACATACAAACACAATCACGCATGGGCTGCAGTGTGCGCTTACTATGAAAACTTAATTGTTTAATAACTTTTTTTGTGGACATACGATCTTCATGAAACTTTGAGATTATGATAAGAACATGGATATGCATGTATTTGCCAAAGCACTCTAGTCTAGTCTCTAGTCTCTAGTATTTGAAATACGCTTTTTACAAACATGAGGGTGAGGGGGTGGATATAGGGGTGGGGGGTAAATGAAAAAAAAAACGAAATTGTATAAATTGCATATAAGCATACATTAAAAATTTGCAGACTCTAGCAATAAAGGTGTAGAAGATATAATTTTATAACTGGGTTTCGATAAGGTTTTTTTATCGATAAAAAGAAGATCGGGATGAGTTATCGATTTTTATTGATAAACTTGATATCCGCGCTGTAATTACGGACATTAAAAAAAAAATTAAAGTCTCTAGCTCTTATATCTATGAAATCGATGCGTTCATACATACGGACAGACGGACAGGGCCAAATCGACTCAGCTCGTCACCCTGATCAAGAATATATGTATATACTTTGTGGGGTCTGCCACGCCTCCTTCTGCCTGTTACATACATTTCAACAAAACCATTATACCCTGATTTCCCATTGAGAATGGGTTCAGGGTATAAAAAAATCGACCGAGTGAGTCATAAAACGCCCTTGATTGCTTTTGTGATTGCAGCTGAGAACGAGCCCTTAGGCTGCATGGAACTGATAGTGATAACGCTTTCAGTGCTGTTCTTCATTTTGACGTGCCCGATTTCCGTGTTCTTCTGCTTGAAGATTGTGGCCGAGTATGAGCGTGCGATCATATTTCGGTTGGGCCGTTTGTGCGGCGGTCCCCGTGGTCCGGGCATGTTCTTCGTGCTGCCCTGCATCGATCAGTACCGCAAGGTGGATTTGCGCACGGTTACATTCAATGTGCCGCAGCAGGAGATGCTGACCAAGGACTCGGTGACGGTGACTGTAGATGCGGTCGTCTACTATCGCATCCATGATCCACTGTACGCGATAGTGCGTGTGGAGGACTATAGCACATCGACCCGTCTGCTGGCTGCCACCACACTGCGCAACATTGTGGGCACGCGCAATCTCACCGAGCTGCTTACCGAGCGCGAGACCCTGGCCCACAACATGCAATTAACCCTGGACGAGGCAACCGAGCCCTGGGGCGTCATGGTGGAGCGTGTAGAAATGTAAGCCACTAATCGATGTGCAAAGCGCCACATGACGCTAACCAATCGCCTGCTTTCGCCCTGCAGCAAGGATGTGTCGCTGCCCGCCTCTATGCAGCGCGCGATGGCCGCCGAGGCGGAGGCGTCACGCGATGCCCGCGCCAAGGTGATTGCCGCCGAAGGCGAAAAGAAGTCAGCAACTGCCCTTAAGGAAGCCTCTGATGTCATTTCCTCCAGTCCATCCGCTTTGCAGGTGTGTCAAGTCAGCTCCCAATGATCGAATGTGTTTGACAATCGCTTTCGTATTTCCAGCTTCGTTATCTGCAAACGCTGAGCAGCATTTCAGCAGAGAAGAACTCAACTATTGTGTTCCCACTGCCCATGGAGCTGCTGACCCCGTATCTGGCCAAGTATTCGCCAATGGCGTCGTTGCCACCAAAGCCTTTGCAGCTATCATCAGATCTGCTCAATGAACAGCATGCTACATATCCTCAGCAAACAATTCTATAATTGATGCGTACATATACATATGTATAGTCACTCAACAGAGCAGATAACAGATAACTGATAGCAGAGTATTCGTATGTGTGTGGGCTCATGGTACGTCATAGTCGAGCAGTCTCGAACAGAGCACGGTAAATAACAGTGCCCTGAACCCACACATGCATACTCTGCTATTAGCTATCTGCTATGTGCTCTGTTGGGTGAGTAACATTTCTTGTAGATGGAACTTACTCATCACACTCAAAGAACGTAATAATGGCATTCATTGTTGGGCATTTGTCTTAGCTTAAGTCTCTCGTATTTCAAGTAAACGATCTTTACATTCATTAAATCCTGCGCAATTGATTTTAAATCTCTTCAAGGTCTAATATATACACATGTATATTCTCTGATTCTAAAGTTTTTAATATTCTTCTGAATTGGGATTGGATTGCTTTATGTAATGCTCGACAAGATTGCATATATTTATATATTAATACATATATGTATTGAGCTACGCACACGTGAAACCACCTACATTCCAACTTTACGACACATCCGGGTTTTTATTATTATTGGGTTTTTATTAGCCGATATTTATGAAATTTTTCGGCTATATAGAGACGTTCAGGTGCATGTGGTTGCATATATGTATATACATATGTATATTGAATATTGAACCTTTAAGTTTCTCGGCGTAATGTAATTCTGAACTAAGCAATATATAATAATATGTCTTTAGGACGCATTCTTAAGTGGAGCCCTTATATCAAATATGGCAGCTGTAACTTTAGAAGCTCTGATTTATCTTCAGAAAACCTAGTGCACACATGGCACACAATTGCGTCAGTAGGAAACTTAAGATTTTGCAATACTTTACTCAATCGAGTACTTAACATCCTAACGCAATTAGTTACCCCCATATAATACGATAAGATATAGGCGTTTCTTTCTTTCTCTATTCTCGTGACAGCCTAATTGGTATTCCAATAATTTATTGTGCGAATTACAGTTATTTCTATTGCGTACTACGCTTGCCCATTCATGCACAAAATGTACCAATTGTTATTAAAAAGAAAATAATTTGCAGTGAGATAGCGAGGCAGTGCAGAGATACCCTATAAAACAGTTGTTTCAAAAAATGTATATTACATCTGAAGTAACATAATAAATGAATCAACTTTTATTGAGTGAACGTAATGTTCTATTGAATATGTGCAAGATCCCGAAAACGAAAGGGTCTTTCAAATGTTCACTATATTCGCAGCTGAATATAAGATTTCAGAGATTGAATCTAGTATAAAAGTAGTTAAACGTAAAGTTTAGTAACTACAGCTCGAAGTACAGGCAATATATTATTTAATAACTGAAGTGAAGTTAGTCGACTTCATGGCAACTTGAGATGTTTTCTGCTGTCGCTTCGACTGTTACATACGTTTGGGCAAAAATATCATACCTTGTGCAGCCAGGTAAATCATAGTAAACAGTTCGAGCGTTATCTTTAAGGATGGGTGGCATATGGGTGGTGTACAAAGGCATGAAGCGATACAAGTGTGGTACGAAAGTGAAAACAACTAACGAGCCAGCAGAAATCAGATTTGATATATTAATAACCAACAACAGCAACGACAGCTGGGAAGCTCCTGATGGCAGTTGTCACACCTGCAATCAAATCAGAAATGCATATAATTCGTTTTGGTGGCGACCTCTCGCGTGCCGCAATAAGCACGGGCTGCCGTATAAAAGGGAGGCACCGCCTAGGGCAGCCCCAACATTAGCAGCATGTTGTTGTGGAGTACGTGTGTGCTGTGGCTGCTAGCTGTCAGCCCAGGAGTCGCGACTGAGGAGTCCCGCCGGCAGTGTGTCAGGTCCAGTCTGATCGAGCGACATCGTTTGAATCCCCAGCTCTTTGCGAGCTGTGATGGGGCGCGTTTCAGGCGTCGTGTGGATGCGACATTTCATGGTAAGCCGAAGCCGCGCGCCGAGCTCTTGGCCAACAAATTCCTACCATCATACAGCTTGGAGCAGACCAATTCGCTGGTGGAGCTCGTCACCAAAATAGCCAAAGAGTATTTGGTTAAATGCCCGCCGATCATCTACTACGACAGCACGGTGACCAGGACGAATGGGCACCTCTTGGATAAACTGTTCAAGGTGAGCATTAAGATTGCATATTCTACTAATAGTCCTGACTGTCCTGCCTTACACATGGTCTATCTGCAGACCATGCCAGTGACGTTTTATCATGGAAGCATCAAGGACAACTTCGAGCCGAGGAATCCCAACTTCATGAGTCACATCGATACCAACTGCAAGAGCTATATCCTGTTCCTATCCGAGCCAGTGATGGCGCGCAAGATTTTAGGCCCCCAGACGGAGAGTCGAGTGGTCGTTGTTTCCAGCTCGTCGCAGTGGAAGTTGCGCGACTTCTTGAGCTCCGAATCGTCATCGAATATCGTCAATCTGTTGGTCATTGGTGAATCCTTGATGTCAAGTCAAGAGCGCGTGAGTATGCGAATGCTTACGAGATAGCATTAATCGTTATCCTTTGTATAATGTACATACATATACACAGTGACGAACTAAATTATTGGCACAGTAAGATTTTTAAACTTTATAAATATAATATAAATAGAAACAAGTAAGAACGTTGCAGTCGGGCGTTACCGACTGCGGAATACTCATTAACATCCCATCAAAAATTTAGTAGTTAAGTTTCGCTCTAATACTGTAGAAAATGCAGTTTTTCCCGATTTGCCACGCCCCTACTGTGCGTAGGCACCTCATTTTTGGTCAGTTCTTAGAATGTAATAACTGTACCCTAACTACAAAGTTTGAATACTTACCCTCAAAAAATGTGAAAATTACAAGGTATTTTCGATATGCCACGCCCCCAAAGAGGCGTAAAAATTATTGTTGGGTCATCGATATAGGAGGTTACTGGTGACTTACCTATTTAAATTTGAAGCTTCTAGGTATTATACTTTAGGAGATATAAACTTTTGCGGTTTGCCACGCCCCCTGTGGGCGGACATATATCAGACAAAACTTTTTGGTCTTCCGTGATCAGCCCGAGTATATATACAAAATTTGAGGTCTCTGGCATCAATAGTGTCTAATATATAGCAGAATTTAAGAAATCACTATATCTTCAGGTCCGATTTGCCACGCCCCTACTGGGCGTAGACTTATAATTTTGTCTTTAGACTTTATAGAATCATAACATTAGCTGACGTGCAAAATTTCAGCATTCTAGGTTTACAACTTTAAGAGATACAGTTTTATCCGATTTGCCACGCCCTCCATGGGCGGAGATATATCCGCCATAGCTCGTAATCTTGGGTGGTCGACGCGGACCTACATACCAAATTTCAGCTTTCTAGCTCTTTAACTAACATGATTTCTGGCATATCGGAAAATTCATTTTCCGATTTGCCACGTCCCTAGTGGGCGGATCGGGAAAATTTTAACACTTTATAAATCGGAAATATACACGAGTATGTGTTCCAAATTTCAAGTCTCTTGCTTCAATAGCGCCGAAATAGATTGCGTTCATACGGACAGACGGACGGACAGCAAGACGGACATTGCACAAAAGCAATATACTGATTCACTTTCGTGAATGAGTATAATAAATTTATTAAATTAAATGCACAAAAAAATATTGCGAAAAACTTCAACCCACATTTCTAAAGAATTAAATAACCAAAAAACCTCAAATTTGCTGAACAAAAGATTGCCAAAGAGCACTAACCACAAATCATATATACTTGACATGTAGAACAAACTTTTCTACAGCAGAAAACGTTAAGTTGGTGGACCTCTATACTTCTTATTTGTTCGGCTCGGTCGCTGCAGGATCGAGCAGTGAAAATATTGCACGACAAAGTCAGGGCGCTGCAAGCGCTCTCTGGTTATTGGCTCAAACGAAATGGTCCCACAAAAATTGAAATTTGTTCTCGACGATCCCAGCTCTTTCCTTTTGAGTGAAGGGTATACCTAAAAGCGTTGTCAAAGGCCAATCAACGGTAAATTTTAGGCATCATCTTGCTTGCAGCAAGAGTTGCGCACACAGACCACAAATGCTCACACAGATCTCTAGAGACTGCAAGTGTGTGTGTGCACGCTTGTCGTGAAAACATTTTCATTATGTGCACCAGCGCGCTGCAGCGCTTTCATACCCTTCCCACGAATAACCATCGAAACACTTACATTTTGTTTGCATGAGCCTGACAAACGGAAAGACCTAACCACCTCTATCGAACTGACGAAAAATGAGGTGTCTACGCCCAGTAGGGGCGTGACAAATCGGGAAAAACTGCATTTCATGCAGTATTAGAGCTAAACTTATATATTTTTATATTGCTGATGGGATGTGAATGAGTATTCCGCAGTCGGTAACGCCCGACTGCAACGTTCTTACTTGTTTTTTTTTTTTTTTTTTTTTTTACAATTTGACCGATTTAGATTTTATATTGTTTGTCTGCAGTAAAAGTCAAGTCGATTTCTTTCTGTCCTTATCGTCTTGTCTTATCACTCTGTTCTTTTTATACCCTGAACCGATTTTCAATGGGAAATCAGGGTATAATGGTTTTGTTGAAATGTATGTAACAGGCAGAAGGAGATGTGGCAGACCCCGCAAAGTATATATATTTTTGATCAGGGCGACGAGCTGAGTCGATTTCCGTCTGTCCGTTCGTCCGTATGAGCAAACCGATGTCAGATGATATAAGAGCTATAGAGCTGAAATTTGGCATGCATACTCGTGTATACCATACGCAGTACAAATTTATCTTATTTTTCGATAACTCGTCCGATAACTTTTTTTATCGAGAATAATCGAAAAATCGACTTTGTTTTTTCAGCCTAATTTGAACACGTTTAGACCTAGAGACTTCAGATTAAGTTTGTATATACAGTTGATGGATACAAAGATTTTGTAGTTTACAGATTTTAGATACCACGTATTTCAAGTACTAGAGACTTGAGCTTTGGAATGTACGCACATTTGAACTATATGACTATGCTCTGAATGTTTCATAAAGATAGTCCATCTACAAAAGAAATGATTCAACAAATAAATTCTCATAATATTGCCCACATTGCAGCGCAGCCCAAGCGCAGTCGCTGCTTACTGCACAGTTAGCAGAGCGCGTGCTAATACTGGGCTGCTCGACTGGAGCCTTCTTACGTGTTTTCTATTTTGTTTTTCCAGGAGCGACCCTATGTCCTATATACGCACAAGTTATATGCAGATGGTCTAGGATCCAATTATGGAATAGTTCTGACCAGCTGGATCCGGGGCGCATTCTCGCGTCCCCACATCAATTTGTTTCCGAACAAGTTCGAGAATGGCTTTGCCGGACATCGTTTCCAGGTATCGGCTGCCGATCAGCCGCCATTTATCTTTCGCATCCGGTCGCTGGACTCGTCGGGTATGGGCCAGCTGCGCTGGGACGGCGTCGAGATGCGCCTGATGAACATGATTGCCCAGCGTCTGAACTTCAGCTTGGACATAACTGAGACGCCCAATGTTGCCAGCTCTCGCAGCGCCGTGGACAGCATTCAGATGCAGATTTTGCAGGGCAGCGTTGACATAGGCATGTCCGGCATTTACTTGACGGAGTCACGAATGCTGGAGACGGACATGTCTGTGGGTCACTCGCGTGACTGTGCGGCATTCATAACGCTAGCATCGAAGGCCCTGCCCAAATACCGGGCCATAATGGGGCCCTTTCAGTGGCCAGTCTGGGCGGCACTGGTCTCTGTGTATCTGGGTGGCATATTCCCCATTGTCTTCACAGATCGACTGACTCTGAGCCATCTAATTGGCAATTGGGGTGAAATAGAGAACATGTTCTGGTACGTCTTCGGTATGTTCACCAACGCGTTCACATTTACGGGCAAATACGCCTGGGGCAATACGGAGAAGACATCCACTCGCCTTCTAATCGGCTCTTACTGGCTGTTCACCATTATCATAACATCTTGCTACACAGGCTCTATTATTGCGTTCGTCACACTGCCCGCCTTTCCGGATACCGTCGACTCTGTAACGGACCTGCTTGGTCTCTTCTTTCGCGTTTGCACGCTGGGTAGGAATATCATCATCATGCTTTATCTTTAGCCATAACTGACACTATAAGAGCACATCTTTCAGACAACGGTGGCTGGGAGACTTGGTTCCAGAACTCCACACATGAAGCCACGTCCAAGCTGTACAAGAAAATGGAGTTTGTTAGCACCCTGGAGGAGGGTATTGGCAATGTTACTCAGAGCTTCTTCTGGAATTACGCGTTTCTCGGCTCAAAGGCGCGGCTTGAATATCTCGTTCAATCTAACTATTCTAATGAGTAAGCTTCTTTGATGTTTGCACAATTGTTTGTAATTTAGAAGACGTAGCCGCCACCCTAAAGTGGAATGTATGTATGCCAGAAGTGGCGTGGCAAATCTATGTATGTATATACTGTATACTTTTGGCGCTGGCAGTGTTCGGTCCAGTTTTTTATACGCTGAGTCCATTGAAAATGGATAATCTAAATATAATGCATTTCTAAAACGGTACGTAGCAGGTTAAGAAGGAGTGGCCAACGTAATCTACGAATATATATACACTTCGCGTCATCAGGTTAGCGCCCCCCCTTACACTCATTTTCTTTTACGTTTTTCTCTTTGCCTATTGCACACAACTTCTTGGTTTTTTTTTTTTATTTCATTATCATCATATGAGATGTCTCTCATACCAAAAAAAGCGCGAGTGAAAACCCGTTATGTTTTATTTTCTATCCTTCTCTATTTTCGCAAAAAATGTGTGCACTTATTTTGCGTCATCAGATTAGCGCCCCCAAATGCAATTGTAATTATCTTGCTTATTTTGGCAATTACACTCACCAAATTTTTTGTGAAGCTCAAAGTATTCAATATATTTATAGTATGGGTAAAGAAACAGTTTTATCTTTGGTTGAAAATCAAAGATTGAGGCATACTTTGAATCTAGACTATGCAACCATAAAATTGCTGAAAAATCAGGAAAAAACAGAAAACTAAGTGGCAATTTTCTTACAAATAGGGAAAACTATGGAAAAAACTATATAAGCGGTAATAATCAAGTGATTTCAGAAGGAAATAGAAGAGCATTAGTTCGAGAAGCTTCGAATTCCCACGAATCGACCACCAAGATTAGGGTTAAAATCAGTGTTAGGACGAGCTTATCAACGGTCTAAAGAGCAATTAAGAAAGTTAATTACTTAAAGAAACAGAATGTAAAAAAAAAGACACCAGTCGATATGCTGAGAAAAGAAATACGCATTAATTTTGGCCGGGCGAATAGGACGTGGTCTACCCAATGGCAGCATGTTGTCTTTTCTGATGAGAAAAATTGAATTTGGAAGGAACTGATGGATATAATTATTATATCCATGACCTACTCATAGAAGAACATTATTTGGAACGGTTTCCAAGCCGCTGCGGCGGGGGGGGTGGTGTGGCATTTGTGTAGGTATCAATATCTTACTACAGCGCTTGTAAGCTTCAATTTTTGACATCGCGCATGAACGCATAGGACCATAATATCGTGTTTAAAACTGCTGTTCCGCATTTCTATAACCTGTCTGAAAACCGGCATTAGATTTTCCAGCATGATAATGCCCCAATTCAGACCGCCCGATCCCTGAAGTCCTGGATTCAGGGCCAAAAAATTGATCTCATGGAGTGGCCACCATACTCACTCGACCTTAATATCATTGGAAACGTCTGGGGATGGTTGGTCAGGAAAGTATATGAGTCCGGAAAGCATTATAGTACAAAGACAGAGTTAATCGAAGGTACTGAACACGCTTAATCAACCATATCCTTGAATAATATTGAACAACTTTATAATTCCATTCCTAATCGAATTTTTTAAGTAATTTCAAACAAAAAACGGCACTACGCACTACTAATATTACTTAAAAATAACAATAGCTTAAAATACAGGTGTTATTTTTGGTAATTAACTTAAATAAATTGAATTTAGCGCAGGGGGCGCTAATCTGATGACCAAATTTTTGTTACATGTTTTTTGTACATTTTACAAAAAAAATTATTAAAAAATAATTCTTATTGTTACAGTAGCCATTCTTTTTGTATTTTAAAGAGAAATAAATGGAGTATAATGTAAAAAAATTTCAAAGATGGAGCTCTGCTGGTTTAGATTTTATTTAGCTTTGAGGTTGAGTGTAAAGGGGGGCGCTAACCTGATGACGCGCAGTGTACATACATATGTATATGTATCTCTGTTTATATATACATAAATATGTATATAGTTTACTAGGTGTACGCTTGTTTAGATACAGCTTTATCCGACCAAACCTTGTGATGCCTTCAATACGCATTGTGTTTAAAAATGTATACTGTTATCTGGAGATTTTTTTTTGTAGTTATATTCCAAATAAAAAATCTCCAGTTCACATGTTGATATCGATATATTGATTTGCGATGCAAATGGATGCATGTTAAATCATAAAATATCATAGGAAGAGTGTATATATTACATATATATCATGTCTCTATAATTAGTTTGTATTACACAAGGCCAACACACTCTGTGAAGGAACACAAAAAGTCAAAAAAGTCAAATGCAAACAGTAACTGCAGTAAACTATATACATATATGTATGTATGTATATCTATAAATCAATATACCCCATTAATCTAGCTATAGGGTACGCAGAAATCGATCGAGCCTAACCACTTTGCATTTATTTGTCAGTAACCTCTCGCGACGTTCGGCATTACATCTGAGTGAAGAATGCTTTGCACTCTTTCAAATTGGATTCCTCTTTCCACGGAACTCGGTGTACAAGCAGAAGATTGATTCGATGATAATGATGGCACAGGAGAGTGGACTAATGATCAAGCTGGGTCATGAGGTCAGCTGGGCCATGCAGAGGTCTGCCACGGGGCGACTCTTGCAGGCGAGCACCACCTCATCGCTGCGAGAAATCATACAGGAGGAGCGTCAGTTGACCACCGCTGACACGGAGGGCATGTTTCTGCTGATGGGCATTGGCTACTTAATGGGCGCGATCGCAGTCGTCTCCGAGATCGTTGGCGGCATCACCAATAAGTGTCGGCAAATCATAAAGCGCTCACGCAAATCCGCCTCCAGCACTTGGTCATCACAGCACAGCTCAGCCGTTGTACGCACCATAGCCGAGCAGCAGGCACACGATGTGCGTAAAGCGGCGCGTCGGCATGCTGCCGAGGATGCCAATCAACGGATGGGATTCGGAATGCGAGAGTTCAATCTGACACGAACAACGCTACGCGAACTATATAATGCCAACAGGTCGGAGACCCAGCCACTGCAGTTGTCCGATTCACACCCATTGGATGCAGCTCCTCTTTCGTCGATTACCATCAAAGAGGTGCCCACTGAAGTCTATGAGACCTTGGACGGTCTCGATCAGTTCATAGCCCGACTGGAGTTGGCCGATGGGCAGGAAGACACCGAACTCAGCGAAAACGATATTTCCAATGGAGGACTCGACATCGAACAAGATCATCACATCGATTAGAGCTCGCAAACGTCCTATGACTTCATACAGAAAAAGCGCTAGAGTGTATTAGAGCTCTATCTAACTGCAGCCCCAGTCTCATATCACTCCGTGTTTTAAAGTAAAAGCTCAAATAAAGATGTGTTTAAACGACCTTTGCATTTATTTATTGGCATTGAGCTTCTTCGGTTCTCCTTTCAAGCAGCATACTTAATTCTCCCCTACATTAGTCAACATTTCCCTTAACAAATTAACGGTTTTTTTATTTTCGTGAGATTTACTTTCACATATATATATTTTCGATCAGTGTGCTTGCTTATGCCCTAGGAATATGTTCGCTTTGCTGCGCATTCGATTCATCAAACGAAGCTTTCTAAAGTCCAATAAAGCGTCTCTCAACTATGACTAGGAGAGAGACGCAGAAACATTGGAGAATATCAATGCTCAAATGAGATTTATCATATAAAAAAAAAAAAATTAATAATAATAAAATTACAATAGAGCGGTGAGCTAAGATTAAAGCTATACTTAATGAATGTAAAAATTACAGAATGTTTTTAAATAGACGTCTATCGATCGAAGAATGCATGCGAATATGTTAGAGAGACATAGAAAAGGAAAGGGACAGGGTGTGCGAGCGAGACAGTGAGCAAGAGAGCACTCGTAACTGCTTAGACACCTCGATTTGGCAAGTCCTTCACTTTGTAAATGCGCACTAGCCAATGCTCAGTTGTATAAGCCTCTTCGAGTACATCCAGCTCAAAGTCCTTGTTGCCGATCTCAGCGGCGCGCACGCGATCATATCCCTGCGCTTTGCCGCCCTCTGTATACATTTGCCCGAACCGATAATAGCACATCTTGTACATGAGGCAATTGAGCAGGGTGGGGGAGCCCTCTTTATCGACGCGGAACTCGCCATTGGCCGCATAGTAGTCCTTCTCTTTGATGTGCGCACCACGATCGGTGCTGCCGCCAATGCGCACCATCCATAGGAATTTGTTGATATCGTCGGACGAGTAACCCGTCAGTCCACCGAAAATGACAAGCACATAGTCAACGTCCAGTTCACGCATGATTTCGTATGCCTTCTCTTCAGATGAGGCCATTGCCTGGCCCACACGAGAGATGTGCGTATTGTTCCAGGTGTTGTTGTCAACTAATATCGTTCTATTCGCCATTGCTGTTATTTGATAGCCGTAATCCCACCAGGACATGATGCGCGCATCCTAAGAAATACATTATTATTAGTATTTTAAAAATAAACTACTTAAGAAACTGATTCCGCACATTCAGCAACATTTTGTTAGTACTCATTATGTTTCATACTCTTCCTATCAAGAATATAACAATTGTATTCATCATCAGTGCGCAATCTATCTTTCTCTCTGTTTCATACTGAGCCTACTCACTTCAGGCGTATTCATTTGCAGCCAGTAATAAGCCTCTCGGAAGTCGTCAAAAATGATGCGGCCGCCGTCGTGCGAACGCGCGCTGAGTACAATGCTTGGCGAGGAGTAGGCCTCAGAGGTGACCCATGTACAGTGGACCGTATAGACGATAAGCATCAACGTTATTATGGAAACAAATCCAATGGCCACCTCACTCTTGACGCCGCCAGTTTGCTGTTCCAGTTTCTTGTGCTGTCTTTTGCTTTCTGCTGCCAGCTTTGTGCCTCCTGCGTCCACACTTTTGATGTACTTGGCCAGCAGATGGGATATGGCAATGCCCGACAGAACACACATCACAGGCGCCAGCACAAGCATGAGGCGCACCATGACGCCAGCGAAGTAAATGCTGGTCACGCCATACAAAATTATAAAGATATTGGAATCTGTTAACCGTGCGAAACAGAAATAGAGGCCAGCGGGAAATAGAAAGACAAGAATCTAAAATGGAAAGAAGGCCCAAATCAATAAATTGCTTACGAATTGAATTGGCGGAAATGACTTTGTATCAGCGATCAAAGTGCTTGTAATCAATGAGTGCATTAAGGCGCTAGTCATTACATCATATTTTGGTGTCATCATCGGAGTAGATGCTTTGCTGCAAGTAGCAGAATACTTTACCTGCAGATCGAAGTAGAATGATGACCAAGATGTGGGCTGATGCTCCGAGACGGACGCAATAATTGGAATGTGATTCTTGGCATAAGATGGATCCAGCAACGAGTAAAAACGACCCGTCCAAGGCGACACCTTACCCGTTATTGTCAACACGGTTCCAATAATCAATGCCAGACTTATCACACTCGAAACCAGGGTTTTGAAAAGAATTTCAAAGTGATCCTTAGGCATGCGCGAGCGTAGATAGTCCACAAAAGCGTGTATCTGGCACAGACCGAACACACCCAATGCCTGAAAGAGATCAAAATGCAAAAGTTGAACTTAAATATAGATAAGAATAGGTAAAACAGTAACACATATTTTCTAAATCAGATTAGTATATAGTACTCATTATGTTTCATACTCTTCCTATCAAGAATTACATAAGTATTCATCATATTGGCGAACCAAACAAAATCTAATTGAAATTGTGTACAACTTACCAACATGTGTTCAGAGCTCTGAATGGGCTGAAAGCCGACAAACGAAATCTGCATGGATAGAATAGTGCCAACGCAATATAGAGTACTATATGCGATATAAATGCGGTGCGAAAAACGTCCAGTAAACATCAGGGCAATCACGTGGAGCGGGATCAGATTGATGAGGAATACATAACCACCCCATGATGAGACCATGTAGAAATATGCAAGCGCTGACATTGCCGACCAAAATATGGTGCCTGTTTTCACGGCCTTGATCCATAGATAATAGGTGAAGAGCATGCAGAATATAGCAATGCCTTCGTTATCATAGGAACCAGCCACGGAACGCGATATGTAGCCCGGTACGATCGATATAAGAGCTGCGGCAACCAAACCTGCACCTGTGCTCTGCAAATTAACAATAGTCTCGATTAGATTCGTGCACGTGGTTCGTCCTAACCTCAATATACGAGCGAAGTGTTACTCACGTGTATTTCCTTGGTCAGTGCATAGGTGACAAGAGTCGTGAGCGAGGAGAAGAATGGTGCCAAAAACACGCAGACATTACGTATATCAATAGTTATGTTTAGCATCCACATAAGCCTATATAGGGCCGCCGAAGTAACCATCAATCCAGGGTAAATCGTGCCGCCGATGATGCGGCCCAGCGGATACCAGGCGCGATCATCGAACCAATTGTGAAATTTGTAAAAGCCTTGCTCGGCCAGGAACCGCGTGGTGCGGTAATTAAAATATGGATCGAATTCATGAATAACGCTTTCAAAACGTAGCACGGAGAACAAGCGTGTGGCGAACGCTGTAAATGGAAAAAGAAGGAGGTGTTAAGTTGGATGCGAGCTGTAATCGATCGTACATAACTTCACTCCGATAGTTCGACAATAGTTGTTATATTTCACTGCTGATTATCTCGATACGATTTATCGATATACAATTGATTCTCTAATTTCACATATACATATGAATTTAAACATGCGCGACTACCTATGTATATATACATATGTACATATTAGCTGGTCTCAACGCCCCCGCAAATACAACATATTGCAAAAAGACTCACATAAAACAGCGGCCAAAATAAGTATCGTTAGTTTAACAAGATGCTCTCGTTTTTCCCATGTTAGGAATCCCCGAGCTTTTGTCGCTGTACCGCTACTTCCACCGGTAATATCCACGGTCATGGTCGGCGTATTTGTTTCGGCCGTGGTTGATTCCCTGCTGCTAAAAAATACCGGTGCGGCTTTTCGATGTTAATTAGATTGTTGTCTAGGTCAAACTACAAACAATTCCTTACACGAGTTAGCACATTAAGCACAACACAATTCTTCACATTACCTACGCTCTTTACAATGCGCAGAACGACTTTGAAAACAAACTAAATATATTAAAATAAATGTAGCGCAGCTTCGTGGCACCCTAAAGAAAAATTCGCTAGACGCTCGATTTTTAAGCAATGCTATCGATAAGTTCGTGCATGTACCGTGTAACCGATGATTATTACCTTTAGCACGATAAGTAAATTCGTGAATAAAGCGCCAATCAGATTTTTTTCTCATTTGTCCAATTCTAATCAGAAATGCAAATAATTTGTATTTGCTTATTTCTGTTCCAGCAATCGTTTGCTGTTTGTTTATAAGTTTATTACTGCCAAGCATATTAGTATATACGAAAACAATTGAATCGCTTTTGCTTACGCATATTATTAAATAAATGAATGTATACATATATAGCCATTCACATGTATGTATGTCTGAATATTCGCATGCATACATAGGAACATATGCATAAATATGTATAATATATGTATATAGTCTTTACCGAGAAGAGTTGGTAGCCCAGATGTTTGTGCCCTGAAGATGCATACATATGTACATATTTATGTGTATATGTACATGCATATGTATGTATGTATATACATATTATTTTAGAACGGACAACTCTTTAGATTTCTGTGATAAGCTCTTATCAAATTTTGACAAAGCGAAAACTATTTCTATTTCAATATATGCACATAATTGGCGGCAAAAACCTTGTTTTTTTTATTATATTGGGATGAACGTTGAATCGTATAGTATCTTGAGTCATTCTAATTTGTGTGACTCAAGTTTCTCAATTACAGACGCGCTTTGTTCATGTTCATTGCTAGCACTAACCACAGTGCTGTGGGATTGTCGCAGAACAAGAAGGGTTTGATATTATATTCGCTTGTGATTCACTCTGAATCCTTTGTTCACATTTATATATACATATACATAGGAATTATGATTTAAAAACTCCGCGCATCCATTTTGATACACAGTTTTGGCTGCATTGAGAGTTATCAGCTGCTCGTAATGTCTGATACGCGGTATCGATATTATTATGTTTACAACGATACTAAACGCGTCGCTCACAATTGAGTAAAGAATTTTGTGGTTGGCTTTATTAATCTCTCTGCGCATGTCGTCACAAGTTAAATGTTTATGTACAAGTTATGTGATATATCTTAGAAGAATAACCTAAGGCCATTCAGAAGTAAACATAAATATTGCTTGTTTTCATATCTCAAAATATATATTTCTAAATTAATTTGTGTAAAATGTTTACAAATACTGTAAAATATTGTGCTTTACACTTTAACTAATGTGTAATTGCTAAAGTTTATATTTAAACATCAAAATTCTTAAAATGTAAGTTGACGTTAAAGAATAATCAACAATTTTTCGGCTGTTTACCGCTCGAGCTCAAAGATATTACGCTGTGACGTCACATTTTCCATAGTTTAGTCTCTCTTGCGAATGCCGACAGCGGGACCTGCGCAATGCAAGACTCATATTCATTAAACCGCGGTTGTCCGGTCGTCGTTGTCGTGGCTCTCGCGCGGACGTCGTCGTTGCTCTGCCGACTTATTGTTATTGTTTTTACTTAAAGTGCTACTGTTTTTTATTTTTATTTTATTAGTTAGTAACTCAAGACACGCATTTGCTCCAACTGGTAAATTTAATATTTAATTGCAATTAACAACACATTGCTCTCACGTGTGTCTGTTCGTGGGAACGTATCTATGTGCATGTGTGTGTGATAAACAGAAATTGTTTTTTGCTACTGCCCAGTCACATACTAACTACAAAATACACATACATACAAATATATAAATACATATATATTTAAACTAGTTAAGATGTTAAAGTATGTATGTACATAACCGAAACGAATGGCAGTCGCCGCAGCAGCAGCATCAGCAGTTAAAAGCAATGTTGTGTTTGTGATACATATCGTATTTGTGTTGTTATTTTTTCTGAATACTTTTTTTTTTAACGCATAACAGTCTGAGCAAGTGTGCATGAGAGTTGATATATATATATATATATATATATATATATATATATATATATATATATAATAAGTTGAATAAGTTGATATAGCGCTATTAATGAGTACAATTTACATATATATATATATATATATATATATATATATATATATATATATATATATATATGTAAATTGTACTCATTAATAGCGCTATATCAACTTATTCAGCGCAGGGAACCGCCTTACAGCAGCAGCAGCAACAACAGTACGAACCGCAACAACAACTTCATGTGGTAAGTTGACAAAAGCATGTATGGGTGCTGGCTAGGGGTGTCTCCTCCTCAATATATATATATATATATATAAATTGCATACATACAAACATAGGCTTGCACATGCAGCTCATCAAATTTTCAAGAATGGTGAAAAATCGAACATCAACGCTCGGCCAAGCGGGTGGCGCAGCTAGCGTCAACGACGGCGGTGGTGACGGTGGCAGTAGTGTTGGTGCTGCAGCCTGCAGCTCAAGGTGTTGGTGGTGTTGATGGTAGTTGCGTGCACACGCACACGCGAATAGAAAATGAAAGAATGCTTTGATATGTGTCATAGAAGAAGAAGAAACTCACCAACAACTTCAATGCTACACACATTGACCCTTTCTCTCTCTCTCTTTCCCGAGCATAAACTGCCTCCTCCGAGTCGGCCCCACGCAAACCAATTGCATTTGCTCTGCATGCAATTGATGTGATGTTCTTTTTGTTCTTTCTTTTTATTGCGCTACGCTTCAGTATATATGTATATACATATATAATATATATGTACATATGTATATTAGGAAAATACCAGGGCTGCGAGCACATAAATGGAAATGCAGCTGAAATTTTGAAGAATTCTTAGAATATAACAATATTATATTATATATTATATTACCTGCATACATTTTCTATATGTTTGTTTATAAATATAGACATATGTATATGAATATCTCAGTAATAGGCTAAAAAATCTAGTGTGTTTAAAAAAATTGAATTAAATAAACACGCATTGGCTGCAGTGCACTGCAGTGCGGCCTTACTATAGGAAGTTAATTCTTCAATAACTTCAAACTTTCAGATCGAGATTATAATATTGAAATGCATGGATTTGCCAAAGCTCAAGTCTCTAGTATTTGAAATACTCTTTTCAACACCTTAGTGGTGAAGGGGTGGATATAGTGATGGGGGAGGGAGGGAAGTGAATAGCAAAAACCGAAATTCTATAAAGTATATGAATATACATTATAAATTTGGTGACTTTAGCTCTAAAGATGTAGCAGATATACATTCTTTAGCGATTTTCGATAATGTTTTTAATCGATAACAAAATAACGAGACGACTTATTGATTTTTTGAGAAAAACTCGATATGCGCATGATCTGTACGGACCTAAAAAATTTCAAGTCTTTAGCTCTTATATCTTCTGAGATCGGCGCTACGGACAGATGGATGGACGGGCGGACAGACAGACGTGGGTCTGCCACGCCTCCTTCTGCCTGTTACATGCATTTAACAAAACCATTATATCCTGATTTCCCATTTTCAATGGGTCATATATGTTATAATCATAATCTGAAAGTTTCATGAAGATCGTATGTCCACAACAAAAAGTTAGTAAACAATTAAGTTCTCATAGTAAGCGCGTATGTGTGTATATGCGAATAATTATTGAAATATCAGTTGCTCGAAGGGTTCAGGCTATCTCGTAGTCGGGCAGTCTCGACTAGAACTTTCTTACTTGCCGTGGAACTGTTTTGGTCTCATTTTTTAGTTTTTAATCAATTTGAAACATTAAAAAAATATTTTAAAAATAAATAAATTAATTTTGTAGTTTAAACATCACACTAACAACCTGCGTTTACATTTTTTCGATATCCCCAATAGTTTAGATTTTATAGATCAGCAAACTTTTTTTGAGGTGCTGGTTGAAATAAGCTGTGAACCACTGTATATATAATTGCCACGTCCCTTAAAATGAGCTAACGGTAACTGCAAAATTTGAATGCTTACGCTAAAAAATATGAAAATTACAGCCGCAAACAATTATTTTTGGGTTATCGTCATAAATTTCAGGTGTCCAGCAGGTCTCCTTAATACTGCTCAAAATATAGCAGTATTTGAAAAATCACTATATCTTCTGGTCTGATTGCCACGCCCCCAATGGGCGTAGATATATTTATCCGCCTCTAGTAGGGGAAAATGTTAACACTTTTTACATTTTTTATAAATCGGAAATATGCACTAGTATGTGTCCCAAATTTCAAGTCTACAGCTTCAATAGCGCCGTTCATACCGACAGACGCACAGACGGCTGGATAAGCCGGACATTGCACAGAACCAATATGCACGTTTTATTTTCGTGAATGAGTATAGTAGTGAATGAGTATAGTTCATTGTTCAAATCATAGTCGAGCATAGTATTGTTGAGCTGCAGTTTCATCATCAGATATTTGTACATATGTATATGTATTTGTATGTACATATATACCTAGATCGCAGAGACTCATAGTAAATGAACAATGCTGATATCTATTATAAAGGCCTTTTTCTTTTCATTCACGAGAGTGAATTAGCATATTGGTTTCGTGCAATGTCCATCTTGCTGTTCGTCCGTCTGTCCGAATGTCCGTATTAACGCAGTTTATTTCGGCGCTATTGAAGCTAGAGAGAAATTTGAACACATACTCGTGTATATCTCCGATTTATAGTGTTAAAATTTTCCCGATCCGCCCACAAGGGGCCTGGCAAATCGGAAAATGCTTTTTCCGATATACCAGAAATCATGTTAGTTGAAGAGCTAGAAAGCTGAAATTGAAAATGTAGATCCGCATCAACCACCCAAGATCACGAGCTATGGCGGATATATCTACGCCCATTGGGGGGAGGTGGCAATCGGATAAAACTGTATCTCCTTGAGTTTTAAAGCTAGAACATTTGGTATATGTACTCGGGCTAACCACCCAAGACCAAAAAGCTTCGACGGATATATGTCCGCTCACAGGGGGCGTGGCAAACCGCAAAAGTTTGTATCTCCTAAAGTATAACAGCTAGAAGCTTCAAATTTAGATAGTTGAGTTACTGGTAGCCTCCTCTATCGATGCCCCAAAAAATAATTTTTACGCCTCTTTAGCGGCGTGGTATATCGAAATATACCCTGTAATTTTCACATTTTTTGGGCGTAAGAATTCTAATTTTGAATTTAGGTTACCGGTTGCTTGTTCTAAGAAGATGAGGCCACTAGGGGCGTGGCAATCGGTATTTATAGTGTCCGAATTGCGACTTTAATATGCGTCAGCCATCTCTTTTACATATAAATAAGCTTAATAAATATTCATAATACGGAATGAAACACTTTTATGAAATTTAAAAAATATAAAAAAGCTAAAATAAAAAAAATTGCAATTTACAAAAAAGAGTTTTCCGCGGGATTTGAACTCGTACCCAAGCCAAATAGCTTGTTTGTCAAAATAACTAATTTAAAGATCGCCGGCGCTTCTGCCTACAGCACCACCGCGTCGTTTCGAGCAACAGTAATTAAATCGAAATCACATTATTGGTATGACGCCATATATCAAAGAAAAGCCAGTGTAGCGGCTGGAAGTTCAAAAACAATGCAAAGACAAATCAATCGCAATATGCTAGAGTACGCATTTATGTGTACATACACCATTAACGTAGAAATTATAGATATACATGCATATATGCTGCAGTTTTTCACACAAAACTAAGAAAGTGAATGTGCGCGTAATTCATTGCCCAACCAAAAAGCCATGTGATTGCATAGAAATTTCTAGAGTCTTCGAATTCACAGTTATTTTTTCGATGTTTTCGAACTAGACTCGAACTTTAATAATAAAAAAGTTTTGGCACCCAAGACATGCCTAATAATTAAATAAAACCGTTTTTTTTTTTACAAAAATTATGGGTGCGTCTAACCTAAGACCAGCAGTGTACATACATATATACAAGTTATAAAATATTCAATTTTTTAAAAAGAGGGAGGTCTTTAATAAATGATTGTTATGTACCTAGCCGCTTTGACACTTGATTTGTCCAAAATCAAAATAAATTTAACGCTTCCAATATTATTTCTAAGATCCTCAAGAAAATGAGGAGCCAACCAATTTTAAATTATGTTGTACATTTATTTAGTACGGTGTAGTTTACTTCGCTAAACACTCATGCTGTCGCATAATTAACAGAGAATACCCAGGTTGTTGATGGGAGAAATTAATGTGTGATTTGCCACAAACAGGCAAAGTGCTATCTCTTGCTCTGTGGTTTTTGTTGGAGTTTGCCCAAAATCAATTTTTTCTTTCTGTGCACATTTGTGGTTTTTGTTGACAAACAAGACCTGTTGCTCAAACCATGAAATGATTTCAATAGATTGTATGATACAAAATCATGTATCGATATTTGTAATCATAGCACAGATAAAAATAAAATAAATTAAAATAAACAAGTAAGAAAGCATACACACACGCATACACAGACACATACACACACATACACACACAAGCACCCACGCATAAACACGCATGGGCTGCAGTGTGCGCTTACCATGAGAACTTAATTGTTTAATTACTTGTTTTGTGGACATACGATCTTCAGGAAGATCAGATCGTAATTATAACCATAATATGCGCGCACTTGCCAAAGGACAAGTCTCTAGTATTTGAAATACGCTTTTTACAAACATGGTGGTGAGGGGTAAATTTCAACAAAAACCGAAATTGTATAAAATGCATTTAAATATACATTCAAAATTTGGAGACTGTAGCTCCAAAGATGTAGGAGATAAAATTTTATAACTGAATTTCGATCATTTTTATCGATAAAAAAGATCGGGATGAATTATCGATTTTTAATGATAAACTCGATATCCGTGCTGTAAATACGGACATTTAAAAAAAATGTTGAAGTCTGTAGCTCTTATATCTTCTAAAATCGACGCGTTCATACATACGGACAGACGGACGGACAGACAGACGGACAGGGCCAAATCGATTCAGCTCGTTACCCTGAATATATATACTTCGTGGGGTCTGCCACGCCTCCTTCTCCCTGTTACATACATTTCAACAAAACCATTATACCCTGATTTCCCTTTGAAAATGTAATGTAAGATACACCACCGACTGGGATACACCACTTTGGAAAAGTGGTGAAGACTATGCCTAAGCGCATTGCTAGAGTGATTAAAGCTAAAGATCGTTGGACAAACATTAAAAATAGTAAATATTTTTAAAAAGTTTAAAACGAGCAAAAGTGGATTCATAGCTCTTTTTATGCATCCATCTGAAAAACTTGAATTTAGAATCAACAAGTAAGAAGACTCTAGTCGAGACTGCTCGACTAGGAGATACCCTGAACCCTCCAATTTGATATTCTAATCACTGTGCACTTGGGCTGCGCTGCAGTGTGGGCAACATAATAAGAATTTATTTGTTGAATAATTTAATTTCTAGACGTAGAATCTTAATGAAACTTTTCAGAACATAATCATAATGTTCAAATGTATGTACATTCTAAAGCACAAGTCTCTAGTATTTGAAATACGCTTTTTACAAAGGTGAGGGTGAGGGGGTGGAAATAGGAGTGTGGGATAAATTTTAACAAAAATCGAAATTGAATAAAATATATATAAGTCTACATTTAAAATTTGGAAGCTCTACCTCTAAAGGTGTAGAAGATATAATAAAATAACTAGCTTTCGATAAGTTTTTTAATCGATAATAAAATATCGAACCTAGGAAAAAAAATTTCAAGTCTCTAGCTCTTATATCTTCTTAGATCGACGCGTTCATACATACGGATGGACGGACGGCCGGACGGACGGACGGACCCATTTTCAATGGGAAATCAGGGTATAATGGTTTTGTTGAAATGTATGTAACAGGCAGAAGGAGGCGTGGCAGACCCCATAAAGTATATATATTCATGATCAGGGCGACGAGCTAAGTCGATTTAGCTCTGTCCGTCTGTCCGTCAGTCCGTATGTTTAAACGCGTCGATCTCAGAAGATATAAGAGCTAGAGACCTCAATTTTTTTCTAAAATGTCCGTGTATACCACGCGGATATCAAATTTTGCTTTAAAAATCGATAACTTTCCCCGTTATTTTTTATCGATAAAACCTTATCGAAAATCAGTCAGACGATTTCAGGAGATATAAGAGTTAGAGACTTATATGTTATAAAATTATATCTTCT